TCGATTGGCGAATTGCTTTCCAGGTGTAATAATCCCTTAATAAAAAATAGTAACAAAAAATAAAATATGGTCACTCAATCCACGACTGTTTGTGGGACACTGCTATGCGCAAATGGCTGCTGCATTTCGCCCACAAAATAGTCAATTCACTTTACAGTATATTCTGTGAAGCACTTTCAGATGTCTCAAAGATGTGATAACATGCTTATTAAATGCAAGGATTATCATTATATGCCTTTATCACCTCCAGACTTGATTTCTCCAATGCCCTATTGATTCAGTCAGAGTTGGCCTTTGCTAACTCAACCCTCCACAAGGTGCAATTGTCCAAAATTCTGCAGTTTCATTTCCGCCGTACCAGAGTTCATCACCATATCATCCTTATCCCTTGGCAAACTTCATGAACAACGATCCTCATTTTCACCTTCAGATGCTTCTACACTCTGACCCAACCCTACTTCTGTCACCTTTTCCAGTTCAAACCCCTCGCCCATTCCCTCCATCCAGCTAAGCCTGTTTCATGGCGTTGGCTTGATCCTCTCCACCATTAGGGGCAAGATTTCATACATTTTGCCCTCACTCTCTGCAACTCTCTCAAGATCCCTTCCACTCTCTGTTTTCAGAGCCCTTCTGAAAAGCAACCTCATTGCCTGTGTTTTGAGTCACCATCCTGCAGTGTGTTGTTGAGGGCGTAGCTGGATTGTTGGAAATGCCATCCTTCAGTTGAGATGTTCGGGTGAATGTTAAAGATTCCGTTACAGTACTCAAAAGAGAAGATAATTCTCCCAGTGACCTGACCAACAGTTTTCGACACTAATTGATCATCCTTGGCTCTTGCCAACCTGTGCCTAATACTTTCCAGAATTAGGTAAGCAGGATCCGTCCCTCCAGGGAGAGAGTGCGCATAGCATTCCAGCAATCTATCTCTGGGATTTCCATGTGTAGGTGGGATGTGTGGAATTCTCAGTTTGGTTTAGATACTGTTAAACATGGTGATGGGTTTAGACAACTGCTGACCAAAACAAAATAGTCATTCGTGTTACATCATAGTAGTTTGTTGAAGTTTGCACAAATAGGCTGTTATGTTATCTGATGTAATTGTTATTATGGTAACGTTTGGTGCTTAACTATACAAAATGTAAGGATTATTATTAACAAAAGGCATAATAATAATAATCCTTGCATTTGATATAGCGCCTTATCACATCTTTGAGACGTCTCAAAGCTCTTCACAGAGCTGTAAAGTGAATTGACTGTATATTTTGTGGGTGAAACGTTAAAAACATGTAGTTTTCCACTAGTCTACATATATGCCCACAAACTACATAGCCACCGCACTCTACCTGGGATGAGGGGGTTGACCTATGAGGATCGGTTGAGTAAACTAGGCCTATATTCTCTAGAATACAGAAGAATAACGGTGATCTTATAGAAACCTATAAGATTCTTAAGGGTCTTGACAGGGTAGATGCCGTGAGACTGTTTCCCCTGGTTGGAGAATCTAAAACTAGGGGTCATAGTCTCAAGATTAAGGGTCAGCCTTTTCTAACTGAGTTGAGGAAACATTTCTTCACTCAGAGGGTAGTGAATTTGTGGAATTCTCTACCCCAGAAGACTGTGAATATATTGAACATAATCAAGACTGAGGTTGATAGATTTCTAAAGGATAGAGGGATTAAGGGAAATGGGGATAGGGCGGGTAAATGGAATTAGGTTAGAAGATCAGTCATGATCTTATTAAATGGCAGGGCAGGCTCGAGGGGCCAAATGGCCTATTCCTGCTCCTATGTCTTATGGTCTTACAGTAAATTCTGTGAAGTGCTTTGACACATCCTTCTGACCTAAAAGGCGCAATATTAAATACAAATCTTATTATGCTTCCTAGGAAGAGTTAAAAAGCCTACTAGATATCAGGAGTTTCAGCCCATAGTGGAGGAGCCCCTCTGTTTCAGATCCAGCTGCCATCAAAAGGCAGAAAGAAGTGAATGCAATTGGGGAACATTTTTCCACACAAAGTACTCAGTGAAGCTTAGTTGAGGCTCAACCCGTGCTGTATGGAACACCACAGTTTAATGCTATCGGCAGGATTTGCCAGAAATTAAAAATTAGGTTCGTAGCCCAAAGTCAACTACACTATCCCAAAAGTAGCCCAATATTGTGAGTAGCAGAGTGGCCAATTTAGGTGCTTTTTGAATGTGAAAGAAAAGTGTTGTGTATAGAGTATTGGTTATAGCACTACTTGCCTGGCAAGCGAGAGGACCCAGGTTTGATTTGATTCCTTATTCCACATGACTCTGTTTACCTGTCAGTAAGTAGGGAACCCAGTTGTTTGTTGATTGGCCGGTTGCTCTCCAGGGGCAATAATCCCTTCAAATAATAATAATCGCTTCAAAAATAAGTAATAATAAATTTGATCACTTAATCCATGACTGTTTGTGGGACACTACTGTGCTCAATTGGCTGCTGTATTTCGCCCACAAAATACAGTCAATCCACTTTACAATTTACTGTGTTCTGTGAAGCACTTTGAGACGTCTGAATGATGTGATCAGCCATCATATTAAATGCAAGGATTGTTATTATAAAGGTGATGGGTGGGGGGAGGGGGGAGTTTTGCAGTTTAATTTTTTTTAAATAAGAAAGTAAGCACCAGCCTAAACCTGTTTCTTTGCACCACCACCACAACAACAACAACAACAACAACCCCACCATGATCACACCGGCCCCAGCACTTGGCGCTGTGATCCCCGGGGCGTGCGGTAGGGGGCGCTGCTGCCGGGGGCCCGGGGCCGGCGCAGGCGCAGTTGCGCTCGATGTAACATTTTGCGACCGCAGGTGAGTGACAATCGCGGGACAGGAGCCGCGCGGCGGCGGCCCTGTACCCCCCCTCCCCCCCCCCCCGGCACCCCCTCACACTGCCCCCCCCACACACACACACACACACTGCCCCTCGTGGGCCGTGTTTTACTGGAGGCCCAACCCGCAGCCTCCCCTCCCAGACACCACCATCAGCACCGCTGCTCCCCCCACCCCACCCCACCCCAGGGCTGCTCCCCCCCCCCCCCACCCCCAGGGCTGCTCCCCCCCCCACCCCACCCCCAGGGCTGCTCCCCCCCCACCCCCACCCCCAGGGCTGCTCCCCCCCCCCCCCCCACCCCCAGGGCTGCTCCCCCCCCCCCACCCCCAGGGCTGCTCCCCCCCCCACCCCCACCCCCAGGGCTGCTCCCCCCCCACCCCCACCCCCAGGGCTGCTCCCCCCCCCCCCCACCCCCAGGGCTGCTCCCCCCTCACACCCCCAGGGCTGCTCCCCCCCCCACCCCACCCCCAGGGCTGCTCCCCCCCCCACCCCCAGGGCTGCTCCCCCCCCACCACCTCCCCACCCCCAGGGCTGCTCCCCCCCCCCCCCACCCCCAGGGCTGCTCCCCCCCCCCCCACCCCCAGGGCTGCTCCCCCCCCCCACCCCAGGGCTGCTCCCCCCCCCCCACCCCCAGGGCTGCTCCCCCCCCCCCCCCCCCCCACCCCCAGGGCTGCTCCCCCCCCCCCCACCCCCAGGGCTGCTCCCCCCCACCCCCAGGGCTGCTCCCCCCCCCCCCCCCCCACCCCCAGGGCTGCTCCCCCCCCCCACCCCCAGGGCTGCTCCCCCCCCCCCACCCCAGGGCTGCTCCCCCCCCCCCCCCCCAGGGCTGCTCCCCCCCCCCCTCACACCCCCAGGGCTGCTCCCCCCCCCACCCCACCCCAGGGCTGCTCCCCCCCCCCACCCCCAGGGCTGCTCCCCCCCCCCCCACCCCCAGGGCTGCTCCCCCCCCCCCCACCCCCAGGGCTGCTCCCCCCCCCACCCCCAGGGCTGCTCCCCCCCCCACCCCCAGGGCTGCTCCCCCCCACCCCCAGGGCTGCTCCCCCCCCCCCCACCCCCAGGGCTGCTCCCCCCCCCCCACCCCCAGGGCTGCTCCCCCCCCCCCCACCCCCCCCACCCCCAGGGCTGCTCCCCCCCCCCACCCCCAGGGCTGCTCCCCCCCACCCACCCCCACGGCTGCTCTCCCCCCCCCCAGGGCTGCTCCCCCCCACCCACCCCCAGGGCTGCTCCCCCCACCCACCCCCAGGGCTGCTCCCCCCACCCCCAGGGCTGCTCCCCCCACCCCCAGGGCTGCTCCCCCCCCCCACCCCCAGGGCTGCTCCCCCCCCCACCCCCAGGGCTGCTCCCCCCACCCCCACCCCCAGGGCTGCTCCCCCCCCCCACCCCCAGGGCTGCTCCCCCCCCCCCCAGGGCTGCTCCCTCCCCACTGCCCTGAGGACACTCACAACAGGTCTCCTGATCATCAGTAAGTTGGCAGCATTCCAGCCGCCCCGTGTCAGTGCCGGTGCACAGGGACATCAGTGCCTGCCTTAATAACAGCAATTCTTGCATTCAATACAGCACCTTATCGCGTCGCTGAGACATCTCAAAACGCTTCACAGGATATACTACAAAGCGAATTGACTGCGTTTTGTGGGCAAAGGTTCGGCACTGGCTGATACAGGAGGCATTGTCACCTACAGACGCAGGGTTTCGGTGCCTGGATCTGTTAGAAACCCTGTTCTGGTTTTGTGACGATGCATCCTGTATCTGCGGGGGGTCCCAGTTGAGTGACACAGTTGTAGACTGGTGGGAATGAATCCTGTGTCTGGATAGTTACTGATTATGTCAGGCACATCTCTGATCTGACCATCACAGAGAAGGTCATTTCGGATGAGGCCATTTCCTCATCTCCCTCTCCTTCATCTCCCTCTCCTGCACCACTCTCCCTTCTTCCTAGCTCTCAACCATCTTTTTGTGATCTTGGATAAAGCTTCCACCTACGTCCCTCACAAACTTCCTCGGATCTCCTCTCTCGGGACTTCCACCCGGAGCGATCAAGCTGCTAAAGGGATTCTTTCCCCCGTAAAGTGATCTGCCAATCAACTAACAACCGGGTTTCTACTTCCTGCTAGGTAAACAGGCGTGTGGAGTAAGGAAACTTGCCTGCGGTATCATCCCGAACGGGAGTCAAACCCAGGTCCTCTCGCTTGCAATGCAAGCACGTTAACCACTATGCCACGGGATTCCAAGCTTAACAAGAACCAAGGCTCGGAGATGGCAGAGTTTAACCAGTTTGTCATTGTGGAGGACTGGTCAACTTTCCATTGCTTCTCGAACAAAGACTATATGGTAAGGCTTTAGTTTGCAGGGTTAACCAGAGCCGAGTGGGAAGCCCGGAGTCCAATCCCTGCCGACATGCATGCCAGGACAGTTAGTCATCAGCAGTGCTTTGAAGTACTGTGAAACCTGACGTTTACCTATCCAAAAAATCCAAATGTACAAGCTGTCTCCATCAGTGCTTCAAAGCGAAGCCAAAATGGCTGACTTCTAAGTTATTTACAGTGACATTACATTACATTTCCTGCGTAATGACCTGGGCCAATAGAAAAGCACAGATATTTTTGGAAAAAAAATGCGGAGCTCTTTGGGGAAATTGTGGGAGTCTGCTTAGTTTTCCACGAAAATTGCGGGTTTGATTGTGCTGTTGAGGTATATTTGAGGTACACAGAGAGACGCATACACAGATACAGAGAGAGAGAGACAGACACAGAGAGAGACACACAGACATAGACACGTTCTCAGAGAGAGAGAGAGAGACACTCATAGACACAAAGAGACATACACGCACAGACACTCATAAACACACACACATATAGAAGAGACATAGACAGACTCACATCGAGACACACACAGACAATCACAACAGCGGGGCCTCCGAGTGTAGCCCATTTGCCACTTGCGCCGCATTGCGCATGTTGTAGTGGAAAAGGTGTGGCTGCACTTTTCTATTGGCCCAGGTGATGACCTGATGAAGGGGAAGTTGGCCTCTTTGGCTTCCCATGAAATGGATGATGTTTTGAAGCGTTGACGGAGCAGTCTTTAGACATGAATGAGCTGACTGGCCAATACGGCTCAAGCTGTTGTTGGGATTTTATGGATCCACAACTTCCGTGTTATAATTAGCCTCTCCTGTAGTAGGTCAATGAACAGCTGACAGATGGAGGTTTGAATCCTCATTGGGTGGATGGCAGGTGCCAGCAACCTCTCATAAGTTGCAAGATGGCGTGGAACAAAGGCGTGGAATACACCAAATTTCGGCCACAAAATCATTTTGTCCATAAAATACAGTCAATCCACTTTGCAGTGTATCCTGCGAAGCACTTTGAGGCGTCTCAACGACATGACAAAACACCATATCAAATTCAAGGATTATTATTATGCATGAGCAGGAAGGCGTGTGTGCGCAGACATGCACTCTCTTGTGTGGGTGGGTGCTTACAATGTTCCTGTTTACACAAACACCCTGAGCTGGTTCTCTTCCTCAGAGCTGCAGACAGATGGGTGGTTCGGCTCGGGAATCCCTCCTGGTTGGGAATAACGAGGAGACTCCTTCAGGTAAATCCCTGTTTTGACTGGAAAGTGCTGCTGAGCTTCTTGCTTCCTGAAGCTGGACCGTGAACAGTGGGTTCATCATTCCTGAACAAGAAGCATTTAATTATCTAATTACGCCTCTGTTTATCTAGCAGTAAGTTGGAACCCTTGTTGGTTGATTGGCGAATCGCTTTCCATGGTAATATTCCCTCAATAAAAATTGGTCACTGAAACCACAACTGTTTGTGGAACTGCTGTGCGCAATTGGCTGCCATGTTTTGCCCTCAAAATGTATAGCCAATTCACTTTACAATATATTCTGTGAAGTGTTTTGAGACGTATCAACGATGTGATATCAATTGCAAGGATTATTATTAATATAAATATATATTTCAGCATGAATGAGATGTACCTGAGCCCGATCGGCATGGATCCACTCAGTACTTCCTCCGTCAGCAACAGCCTCCCTGTTACTGGCAGTCACCTGGGTCTGACCTCACCCACCCACAACCCTCTCCCTACTCCGGGTAAGAATGGCATGACCAGTACAGGGTGTTCATAAAGTCCTTTTATCCCCAGTATTTTTTTCTTCTCTACAATGCTTTACAACTGAATCATTTGGAAAAATGATGATAATTGTATTTAGAAGTACTTAATTGTATTCATGACAAGTTTTTAACTATTTCGATGTCCAATGGATCAGTGTGAGTGAGCACCATCATTTTCATGGCAGATAATTGAAGGCATGTTAGGTGTGACATTTTCTGTAACATGGATGGAGTGACCAGGACGTTACTGGTATCAGACATTCGACTCTTCTGCAACAGAAAATAAAATATTCATTGTAAGAAAAAAAGAGGGTAACAGAACTTTGTGAACACCCTGTACAGTAACCTTGCAATCTGAGTGCGCACACACACAACCTGCACTGACATACCCCAAACATCAGGCATCTGAAGTCCAACAACATTCTCTATATCACCTCAGGAATGAGTTACAGCAGCGGAACTCCAGCCGGTTGATCACCGCTAGGTGGCGTCTCGCATAGACTCCTAACAACAAGAGGAAGGAGTGATATTTACCACAGTTTAAAGTTTGTATTTTTTTATTTTGAGATGCATGAAATAATTTGTGAGTCTGGCTTTGTTTTCAGTTGGACTCGTCCTTCGTATGAGACATTAAACTGAGGTCCCGTCTGCCTGTTCAGGTGGGCGTTAAAGATTCCATGGCACGATTTGAAAAGGGAAGGGAGTTTCGCCCTCCCAGTGTCCTGGCCAACAATCCCCCCAAATAAAAATTGGTCACTCACTCCATGACTGTTTATAGGATATTGCCGTGAGTTATGTGCTGCCACTTCTGTCTACTAATACACCTTCACTCCATTTCACAGCAATTCCTGTGAAGTATCCTTCTGGCGTGAAAAGGCACTATACCAAATGCAAGGATTATAATTTTCAGATCAATGCAGTTGATGCTGCAAGATGCTCCTTCCTCATCTTTTTGATCATTCAAGAGTGCTGCCTTTGCCTTGTAACGATCGCCTGGTTAGACACCACTGAGTTATAGGCTTGAATCTGATCCATGCGTTCGGGAGTTATGGGCTGGAACCTTAGCCCGGGATGATGGGGAAGCACCTTGCGAGAACCCGTGTGCTGCTGATTTTCTTTCTTTCTGATTTTTGATTTAATTAACTGCAGGAATGCCAGTCGCAATCCCGAACCTCAGCGCCTCCTTGGGCTCTCTCCCATCCGCTCTTTCCTTGATGCTGCCGATGAGCATTGGAGAGCGTGGAGTGATGTGCAGCATTCCTGAACGGAACTATCCGCTCCCTCCTCCCCCTTACCCACACCTCGAGAACAGCTACTTCCGACACATACTGCCCGGTAAGTGATCACCTCTCGTGACCGACTGTCAGAAATGTGTCTCCCTGCCCACCGACCCCCCCCCCCCACCCGTCTCCCTGGTCCTCCCTGCCCACCCCTCTCCTTCTCCACTGGTACTGTTCCCACCCCTCTAAAAACAGCTGTCATCAGCCCCATCCTCAAAAAACCTTCTCTGGAGTCATCACTACACTCCAGCTAACACCCCATTACCAACCTACCTTTCCTCTCCAAGGCCCTGGAATGAGTCATTGCATCCCAGCTTCGCTCTTTCCTCTCCCGCCATCTCCCTTCCATTCGGGTTTCCATTGGAAGGGTACCCGCAGACGGGGTCAGGGAGACAGCATCACACTTCGTGGATGCACTCTACACCTCACGGAGCCAATATGGAACCTCGGCCTCCTGTTCGTCCCTCAACTAACCTTCATCCTCCACATCCGTGCCATGACTCCATCTTTCCCCACGTCTGCAACATTGCCCAACTCTGCCACTGTCTCACCGCAGGCCGCCGAGACCCTTATCCACGCATTCATCACATCCACATCCGACTATGCAAATTTCCTGCTTGTCGGCCTCCCCAACTCCTCCCTCCACAGGCTGCAGATCATCCAGAACTCTGCAGACTGTGTCCTCTCCCACACCAGGCTCCGCGACCCTATCCCCCCAAACCTCGCCCAACTCCACTGGCTCCCCATCACTCAGAGGATACAGTTCAATATTCTGGTCCTCACCTTCAAAGCCCTCCATAGCCTCCCTCCTCCCTACCTCTGTGACCTCCTAACCCCCTACCAATCTGTCTGCTTCCTCCGCTCAGTGGACTCAAGGCTCCTTCACGTCCTCTGCCTTGCCCGCCCCACCATTGACGGATGGGCCTTCAGTCTCTCTGCCCCCAGCCTTTGGAACTCCATCCTACAATCCCTCCGCCTCCCCCCCCTCTTTTGCCTCCTTCAAGATCCAACTCAAGACCCTCCTCTTTGACCGTGTCTCCTAACTCTACCCTGCCCGCCCTCCACTTCTCCTGATCCCAACTACCAGCTCAGGTACGGACCCCTGACTGTCCAGCGCCTTGGGACGTCCTGCTGATATGGAAGGTGCTATACAAATGTAATTTGTTGTTGTTATTGCTGGAATACCTGTCCCCTCCGATACCCAGAGCTCTGCAGCCCGTGTCCTTTCCTGCACCAGGCTCTGAGCTTATCACCCCCCCCACCCTCCTTGCTCAGGTCCTGGCCTGCTTCACCCCCCTACCGGATCTGCCCTGCTGAGACAGCTCTCTGCCTTCACTTTCTGGAACCTCTGCCTTTGCCTCAGCTACTCATTTCTCAGCTTTAAAGCTCGCCTGAAGACCAATCTTTTCAATCTTGCTGTCAGTTGCCTTTACCCTCCCATCCTTCTCAACTCCCCCCCACCCTCCCCAAACCCCCACTTCCCATACACACATCTCAGGCACCTAGTCAGCTGTGTAAAGCACTTCGAGACATTCTTCCAACATGAAAGACACTGTATAAATGTAAATTGTTGTTGTGTAGTTAAATATATATGTGTATGGGTCGAATAGAGTGGGAATGGGTATTATGCTTCTGGGTGTGGGCATAGGTGTTTGTGTGTGCAAGATGGAGTGTGTGTGCATGTGTGGGGGGATGTTTGTGTGTGGGGGCATCGGTGTGTGTGGGCATCGGTGTGTGTGTAAGAGTGGGAGTGCGCATCTGCTTGTGTGTGCAAACGATTATGGGATAGAATAATAAAATTAGGCTGTTCTCCATGTGCAAGTAATGGGTTGTACTGTTGCTCCTTGCAGGCATATTATCGTACCTTGCGGACAGACCACCTCCCCAGTACATCCACCCGAGTGCCATCAGTGTGGACGGGAGCCCTGCTCTGCCCATGCCCAGCACACCAGCTCCTCACGACCACTACGAGCCCAGTGGGTCAGTGGGCCTGGAGGCCAGCATTGTCTCCATCAACTCTAGGCAGGTGAGCACTCACAGCTCCCAAAATCTACGTCAGACCAGCAACCAGGATGGTCCTATGGACACGGACATCTCCATGGAAACAGTTTCCAGAGTAACCAGCCCCATTGCCACCCAGGGGATCAGTGAAGAGCTGACTATGGAGAGGGTAACTGCAGAGCCACAGCCATTGACATCCGGCTCAAGAAACCACAAAGCCATGGTCGTAGACTCGGTGGGAAATAACCTGGAAGCTGAGGCAGTGGTGGGGCAGAGCACGGTGGTCATGCCGATTCACACCAGCTCCCTCGAGCTACCTGTGGTCATGCAAACGGAGCCAATGAGCAACATCTCGGACAATCCCCTGAGTGATTCCATCCACGCGGGTGCGCTGACCGCCAACCCTGTCCCCGTGGCCCTCTCGTCCTCCCACACATTGCCTTCACTGGATCCCGGGCCTCTTCATGGATCCGGCATCGGCCTGGACCCAGTGTCCGTGTCCACCATCACTACTGAGGTCCCCGTGGACTCCAGCCAGGTTGCTGTCTCCTCAGAGAACCTCTCGTTCGTGACGGCGGCGTTGCAGATGGAGGATTCCAGCTCCAACAAAGAAAACCTCTCCGAGTCATTCACAATCTGTAAGTGCCAGGTGCAAACCTTAGACCAGCGTCTTGGGACGTTCTCCCGACATGAAAGCTATTATACGAATGTGAACTGGAGTCTCATAGGATAGTGGTTAGCACGCTTGCCTTGCAAGTGAAAGGACCCAGGTTTGATTCCTGGGCAGGACGAAACCTAATGCAAGTTTCCTTACTCTACAAGCCTTTATTTACCTAGTAGTAAGTTGGAACCCAGTTGTTTGTCGATTGGCGGATTGCTTTCCAAGGGTAATAATCTCTCAAAATAAAATCCACAACTGTTTGTGGGACACAGCTGTGTGCAATTGGCTGTCATGTTTTGCCCACAAAATTGTACAGTCGATTCACTTTACAATATATTCTGTGAAGTGTTTAAGACGTCTCATCGAGTGATAAGGCGTTATATCAAATGCAAGTGCTATTATTATAATCTGGCACTCCCGTGTCAGGTAGAGCATGGGTTAGCTACAACATCAACAACAAATTACATTTATACTGTGCCTTTCATATTGGTAGGACGTCCCAAGGCTCTGGACAGTCAAAGGTTTGCACCCAAACTGGAGTCAGGAGGAGTGGAGGGCAAAGGTGGTAGAAGAGCCGGTACAGACACGATGGGCCGAATGGCCTCCTTCTGTGCTGTATCATTCTATGATTCTATGATACTCCCAAGTCAAGTAAGGCACAGAATGAACAATAATGAGAATAATTATTAATGAGAATTCCATGCACCCCACCTACAAATGGAAATTACAGAGATATATTGTTGGAATGAAATGTGCACTCTCTCCCTGGTGCCTGCCCAGAGTGACACCTCCAGCACTTGCCTGGTACCTGCTGTGCTAATCTGGTTCATTCTAGATTTGTATTTCCAGTGTTTCACCGGGTGACCCAGTGTAATGTAAGTTCTCTCTCCTGTGTTTCAGGGTGTACACTGTGCGACAGGGCTTACAGTTCAGACTGTCCAGAACACGGCGCGGTCACTTTCATTCAGGATACTCCTGTCGAGAGTCGAGCGAGGATGTCCATCCCCAGGCAGCTGAGCCTCCGGTCCTCGGAGACAGGAGCTGACGTGGGTGAGTAACACAGGAGTCTTTTAAACAACCATAAAAAACAAATTGCATTGATACAGCGCCTTTCACATCAGGAAGACATCCTAACACGCTGGACAGATGAGGGTTTGCTTTTTTTTTTGGTAAGCCATGTCTAACACAGGCGGAAACCCATCACCATGACAGTTCTGTGCTCCCAATCCAAACATGGATATTTATGTGTTTTGAAATAGAATATGCAGTCTCTCTCTGGAGGGACACATCTTGCTTACCTAATTCAAGAGAGTATCAGGTGCATGTTGGCATGAGCCAGTGTTTGGGGATCCCAGAGTGTGCATTGGAGGTAACTAATGGAGTCTAACCATCTTAAAACTGCATAGTTTCCCTTTGATATCACTATCCGGCAAGCTTTCCCGCTGTCCGGCAAGCTTACCCGCTGTCCGGCAAGCTTACCCGCTGTCCGGCAAGCTTTCCCGCTGTCCGGCAAGCTTTCCAGATAGCTAGAGCTTTGGCTTGCAGGGTTAACAGGAGTGAAAAGAATCCCCATTTGATAATGAGCCAGGCTGACTATGCTGTCAACAGCAGTGCCCTGTAATTCTAGCCAGGCTCAGGAGCTGGATGACCAAGACTGTCATTGAAGTGGGCTCAATTCTGACATTCCTTTGCCAAGCACATCACCTGGGATACAATTCAGCTCTAGGGAGACCCAGCTCTACCCTTCCCCACTCCAGGATAGTCATATGCCCTACCTGCTTCACCATCGGCGGGCAGTTTTTCAGCCTTTCAATTCCTGTTCCCTGGAACTCATTCTCCCGACTCCCTCCCTCAACTTCCTCTTTCACTTCCTTCAAGGTCCATTTCAAGGGCAACCTCTTTCAACGGTTATCTTTCTCTTCCCCGCCCACTCCCTCAGCTCCTCAGCTCCAACATCCTGCCCCTCAGCTCCCACCCCCCCATGGCCGCTCAGCTCCTACCCCCAGGTCGGGTGCCCAGCCCGTACTGTTAAACACTTTGGGATGTCATCCTGACGTGAAAGGCGCTGTATAAATGTAAGTTTGTAGTGTATCATGTCCCAATCTCACTCACAGTGATTCTCATTTGGCAGGAGTGTGGTGTCAGGAAACTATTCCTGTACGGGCCTGCTTTGGACCACTGATTGGACAGCAGAGTGATCCTGCTGATGTTCCTGATTGGTCAAACAAGAACAGTCCTGACGTTTGGCAGGTGAGAACGTGTTGAGGAACCTGCTCCTGACCAGCTCTCTGATCATCCAGCTCCTCACTCGCACTGTGGGGCTCATTAACTTCTAATACTCTTACCCCAACCTATCTCTGTAACTGTCTAAAACCCTATCAATCTGTCTGCTCCCTCTGCTCGGTAGATACTGGCCTGCTTCACGTCCCATCCCGTCCCACCATCGGGGGTTGGGCCTTCAGTCTTTTTGCCACCATCCTCTGGAACTGCATCCCATCGTCCCTTTGCCTTGAACCCGTCCTTCAAGACCTTCGTCTTTGACCATTGCTTTGGTTATTTTCCCAATCCATCTCCCCCTGAATCCAATCCCCAGCTTGGCAGCAAGCCCTCAACTGTCCAGCTCCTTGGAAGTCCTCCGGACACAAAAGGTGATGAATAAATTTAATTTGTTGATGTTGATCAGAACCCTAATAATCCAGGTCCTCACTCGCACTATGCAACAACAACAACAACAAGATTCCATTTATTGAGCACCTTTCACGTCGGGAGGACGTCCCAAGGCGCTGTACAGTTGGGTCAGGACCCGAGCAGGGGGGAAATGGTCAGGGTGAGGGGAGGGAAGGGAGGGAGCGAGGAGGGGGTAGAGAGTCGAGAGGGGAGCTGAAGGCACGGTCAAAGAGAAAGGTCTTGAGACCAGCCTTGAAGGAGGAAAGGGAGGAGGCGGCGAAGGCACTAGGGGATAGAGTTCCAGAGCCTCGGGGCTGAGAGGCTGAAGGCCCGGCCACCGATAGTAGGGCGGTTGGGGCGGGGGATGTGGAGCAGACCGGAGCCAGAGGAACGGAGGGTACGGGCGGGTAGGTAGGGGGATAGTAGGTCGGAGAGGTAGGAGGGAGCAAGGCCGTGAATGGCAGTTCAGTAAGTAGTGTAAAATCTGAATCTAGATGCAATAGTTTCCACCTACTTCCTAAACTTTTGTGGCTTATCTCTCTAACTCACTGGATCAATGTGCAACCTTGGTTTCTAGTTTGACCTTCAGTTCTCTTTCTTCCCTCACATCCAGTCCCACGACCATCATTTCTGCATCCTTGGAACATTGGCAATTTCTATCTGACCACCCCCCACTCCCCTCAATAATACCAAAACTCTTATTCATGCCTTCGTTGCCATCAGACTTCAAATTTCACACGTTCTCCTCACCATCCTACTCAGCTCCACCATCCACAAGCCCCATCTCATTCAAAAATCTGCGCTCTCATCTTTACTCGCAGAAAACTGGGTGCCATCACTTCCGCCCTTGCCAGGCTTCACTGTCTCCCAGCGGAGTTACTTGAAGATACTCACTTGCTTTCACAAGCACTCCATGCCATTGTACATCCTTACATTTGTTATCTTCTCCAGCTTCACTCTTCCACTTGTCCTCTCTGTTTTACAAACCCGAGCCCTCTCAGGCCCACCTTTGGCGTCCGAACCTTCACTGTACCTTTCACCCTCTGGAACCCACTCCTCAAACCCTCCGTCTCGCCCACTCTCTTTCAGTTTTCAAAAGCTGCTTTTATGTGTATTTTTTAGCCCATGATGTTATTTCCCTGTAGCAAATGTTACTCTTCTGTACAAAAAGCGGGGCAGAAGAATAAATCCAGGAACTACAGGCCAGTCTGCCAAACATCAGTAGTTAAGAAACTTCTAGAGACGATAATCTGGGACAAAATACATTTTGCACTCAGAAAAATATGGGTAAATAAAGGATTTGTTAAAGGCAAATCATGTCTGGCAAACCTGATAGTCTTTGATGAAGTAATGGAAAGGGTGGATGAAGGTAGTGCAGGTGATGTAGTTTATATGCATTTTCAAAAGGCCAATGTAAACCCTGTCCTCTGTACAGGTATTGACCACTGTTAGGAAGTAGACGATTGATTGGGTTGTACTTGTCCATTCATCTCCCCCTCCAGCTAGTCGAGCTGAAATTTAATGTGAAGATCAGCTTTGTGGGAGGGGGGGTAAGCAAAATATAAGTCGTCCCAGAAGAAGTCGCTGGAAGGAAAGAGACCTCCGTAGGGTGTAACAAGCTATTGTCAGTATCTGTAGGCATAAAGTGAAATCTCCGTTTCTTTAAACACTTTAGTTGGTTAATATGATTGCAGTAAAGTTGGTGACCATCATGTGAAGTGGGAATAGAAATTTAATCTATTTGTGCTACTGCCTCAAAATACTTGCATTACCGGCTTTACCAGGGATTCATTTGTAGCTTGGACATGATCATCAGCTGCAAAAACAGTTTCACTTTATGTAGAAACCAAAGGGTTAACTCCCTCTGATCAGCCTGTGCTGGTCAGCATGAAGCAGTGTCCGTTTGTTTACACAAACCAGGGTGCGAGCAGTCAGTGAATTTAAACTACTCACAGTCAGTGGCTACAGTCAGTGATTTTTAAAGTTGCTGTGCTGTATAAATTTCTTTTCTCTTGTTTTTTTTAATGAACCCATCCTACTCTCTCTCTGTCAACTTTTATTAATCTCTTTACTTGAGAGCATTTTGACCTTTCCTGACTGCTCACAAGTATCAAGCAGACTAAACTGTTTGAGGGCTTTCAGATTAGCCAATAAGTCATCTCCCTGTCTGGTCTGGAGGCATATCGGTGAGACATAAGGATCTATACATTGCTCAATCAGTTGTCTCATTGCTTTTAACTCCTTCTGTAATCTTTCAAATTCAGAAGTAATCTTTGTCCTAATCTTTCTTCCAAATTTGACTCTTTAGTACCTTTCTTAGTTTCACCTTTACAATCCTTAGGTATTGGTGGTGTTGTCATTGGATTTAAGTTTATCTCTTTACCTTTGCCCCTTTTTCCTGCAGAATTAATTTGTCTTGTTTTGTCTTTTAAAACTTGCAGTGAACCCTTGTTTTCCTGCACTTTTTCAGTTTTTTCCTCCACTAAGGCTGCTACTTGTGCTTTAAATCTGGCCACTTCATCTTTCTCATGTTTAATTCTATCAATTTTGTTTCTTGCTTCATCTCGTTCTGAGTTAAACTTCTCAGATTCATGTTTAGCTCTTCTTAACATTTCTCTTTCACATTTAAGTTATTCCTCCAACTACAGTACCTTTTTGTGACACTGCATATGTGACACAGGACATCCTGTCTAGATTCCATGGCCATACCTGCCTGTGTTTTTACAGTAGCTTTTAAGGGTAAGGAACTGGAGGTTTTACTGATTTGAGGACCGCCTCCAGTCGCCTGCTGGAGGGTTAATAATGCAATCAATTTATCCAATTTTTGGTCCGTGGGAGAAGGTTTAGAGGTGACATAGGGGAAATTTTCAATTTGGTTAGATCCTGGTTGTGGCTCGCTCGGACAATCACGAGCAAAGTGCCCTCTACCCCCACATTTATAGCATTCGCTAGAGGCATTGCTCCAATTACTACCTCTTCCTCTTCGTCCTCCGTAAGTACCTCGTCCGTATCCTCTTAATTGACCAGGCCATAAACCTCCCTGCCTAGCGCCTTCTACTTCATCATCATCATCATCCTCATATCTGTAACTCCCGTCTGTCACCGTGCAAATCATCGCACGATCGGTTCGCAACTTCTGTTTCAGCTTTTGTATTTCTAACTGACACCGACGATGATCACATCCTTTTTCTTTTCGTTCTTAACGTATTCTCGGATCGCACCACGCGCATCCTCGGGTTCTGTTTCTAATTGTTTATTTTTTGCTCTTGCCTGTTTTAGCATACTGAGACGCTCCTCGTGATTAATCCTTTCTGCCTGAGCTAGGTTTACCGCTTTGGTTTGCTGGTCTAACATGATCCCTAACTTCCTGATTTTATCCTCATATTTGCTCCCTCTTTCACTCTCAGCATATAGTTCCATTTTATGATTGCTAGATTCGCTTTCTTTCTCCTCTAATGTCTGTTTTAACTGGATTGTTTCTACTTCATGCCTTTCCCTTTCTCCCTTTAATTAATTCTCCTTTTTTTCTAACAGAGTCTTTTCCATTTCATGTCTCTCTCTCTCCCTTTAATTCATCCTCTTTTTCTGCTAGGGTTTTTTCTAGCTCTTTAATCCTTTTCTGAGTCCCCAAACATCCTCTCCACTTCATTACTTCATTAACGATCTACAATTCTTTCCCCCTGTCTTTATTTCTCCTTGTACTACCTGATCCTCGATCCATGTTAAGCCTTGCTCAGATGTCTTGATGACCCCTGGATGTCCAAGTGGTCAGCTCTCTGTCCCACATTCTTGCACAAGTCTTTCTCATATTTCTGTACCCATTTCTTAAACATTTCCCTTATAATTGTTTCTTTTGATTTGTCCATTGTTTTAAAAAAAACTCCCCGAGTCTTTTATCTTGTAGGTCTCCCTGAGCCTACACTGGTAAGTTTTACTTTTATCCTGACTTTCCTTGGCTCTCTGAGCCTCTTACTACGTAGATCTCCCCAGCTCTACTCTTAAATTAAACTCCCTGAGTTTTATGCTTACGACTCCCCGAGTCCGGTCTGGAAGACCTTCCTTGGTTTATACTCAACTTAAACTTCCCGAATTTATTCTTATAGCTCCCTAAGGCTCTATCTCGCAGATTTCCCGGAGTCTGCACTCATAAAACTCCCTGAGTTTTATTCTTACCACTCCCTGAGTCGCTGCTTATTTCATCTGTTGGCCCCGGCCTTTCTTAGTTGCTGATGACAAAAAATCTCTTATCACTTGTCGGGGATTTCCGATCCCAAGGTTCAAATAATGACCCGACAATCCAATTAAGGTGTAATAGAGATTTATTAATACAAAACTAGTAAAATAATACTTCCGCTACAAGTAATAAAACTTATACTACCAGTTTTGGAGCAGTCAGTCAGTTGCGATGGTTTCAGCACACCTTCTCTCCGGTGGTTCGGCTGCCCTCTTTGTCTGGCTGGATCTGCTGCCTTACTTGCCTAAAGTCAGGGTAGTTATACTTTTTCCATCAAGGGATCTTCCCCCCTTCTTCTCCAATCAAGCATCTTAGCACGTACCCAACGTACTCGACCCTTGCACGTCCTTGTACCCATATCTTTTAGATAAGCAGACCCTTTTGAGACAAAGCAGCTTGCTTATTATTCTTCAACACATGACATTTTGCTTCGCCCTTCCAAGGCCGGAGCCTGTCTCTATCTGGTAGAAACATTTAATGTGATCGGCATGTGTTCACAGAAAACTGAGCAGCTTTACTTAGGTGCTCTCATGGAATGCAGATTTCTTGTACCCTTCTTGAAGCCTGTTCTATGCCTTCTCTCACCATCACGTTGACCTTTTAGAACCAGGATGGCTCATTCTGCAAATTCTTAAAATGTTAGGAAAACAGTTTCTAATTACAGCTAATAGTTTCTTTCTCCCCCTGTTTGCTACCGTCACACATGTATGTGTATTGATATACATCTATAGATATATGTATTTATTATTAATTCTTCTATTACTCTTCTTACAAATTATAGTAAAATCAACCTAATAGTAGAATCAAAAAAAATTAAAGACAAATACCCTCACCTGATAATGCAAGGATTATTGTTGTTATTATTACCCATCACGGCTTTGGCTTGCAGGGTTAACAGGAAGTGCCTCTAGTGTTCAATCTGCCCTTCCAAGTCCTGCTGCTGATGACCTGTGCAGTCATCACCAGTGCCCTGGAGTACTGCGAGTCCGCCATGCTCTGAAACCAAATTTCCAAGACTGCCACAGGGGGCTGGCTCAGTTCCAATATTCCATTGCCCGACATGTCACTTTGGAGACAGTTCAGCTCCAAGGAGACCGTGCTAACCTCTCATCCCTTGCCCCCCCACCTCCGGAGGATAGTCTCACATTGTAGCCGAGCTGTAACTGCTTTTGATCAATGCTGTGCTGCATCTCAGTGTACGTTTTCCTCGCTTTACTCCAGATTTTTGGTAACTACGTGCTGGAGTCGCTGCTGCTGGTGGCGGATGAGAATGTGTGTAACTGGATGATGTTCGTGCGTAAAGCCAGGTGAGCAGAGCAGAGATTCTCAATTCAATGCAGCTTATAAGTGAGTATGTGATGATGGGTCAAGAGTACATTTCCCATGATTCAATACAGCCAGTAGTGCGGGAGTAATGGAGGGTGGGGGATCAGTGCTCTGAGTTAGGAGGTGATTAGTATGAGTAAAGAAATCTAAATGGCTTTGATAAGAAACTGAATGGGACTCGGTAAATGTACGACTTAGGCGATTATAAAGATAAGACTTATGCAAGTTTTACTGCATTATAATAACAATTATAATACAATATTATACAATATGGTGAACAAAATATCAAACCCCTGCAAAAATTAGTTATTTTAGGAAGCTCAAACAAACTAAGAAAAGTAACATTCATTCATATGTAATTGTTATTGGTCAGGCTAACCTGACACTGAAAAACACTTAGATACTACTGCTATGGAGTGATTTAAAATAATAATTAATAATCCTTATATTTAGGATGTCTCAAAGTACTTCACAGGTTAAATTGTAAATTGAAGTCACTGTTTTTGTGGGTGAATGTGGCAACCAATTTGCACATAGCAATGTTCCACAAACAACCATGGACTCTTTTCGAATCATGTCATGGGATCTTTAATGTCCACTTGGAAAGGTGGACATTAAAGATCCCAATGTCTTATCCAAAAGCCAGCAACTCAAACAATGAGCAGACACTCAGCATTGCAGAGAATGTCAGCCTAGATTAAATGAGTTCCAAGTCCCTGTGTGGGGTTTGAACCAATGACCTTCTGATTCAGAGGTGAGCGTGCTACTATCTGGGTTTACTCACGGCCAATTAAATGTCAGAGTAGTACTTACATGTCAATAAGAATAAATGTGCATTTTTTAGCGCCTTATTGCGTTGAAAGATCTCACTGTAATTACTGTGAAGTAGTGATTTTTTNATATATAATTTCTGCAACAATTTTGCACACAAGCATTGTCCCACAAACACTATGTGCTGAATGCTCAATCTTATCTGGGGAATTGCTAGCCAATATAATGGGCGAAATTCCCTTCTCTTTTCGAACAGTGTAAGGGACCTTTAACATCCACCTGAACAGGTAGGTGGGACTTTGGTTTAACTTCTGATCCAAAGGGCAGCACCTCTGACAATGCACCCCTAATTTCAGCTAAGATTGAGCTCAAGTCCTAATTTGGGGCACAAATCAACAACCTGACCCAGATTCTACCGCTATGGAGTTGAGGGTGCTACCGACTAAGCCAGACTGACATCATTTGAGATTCTTCCCATGGGGACCCTGAACACATCTTAATAATAATAAAATAATAATAATAATCCTTGCATTTGATATAGCGCTTTTCAAGTCGGGAGGACGTCCCAAAGCGCTTCACAGAACACACTGTAAAGTGAATTGACTGTATATTTGTGGGCGAACGCAGCAGCCAATTGCGCACAGCAATGTCCCACAAACAGTCGTAGATTGAAAATGACCAAGTTATTATTGTTTTTGGTTTTGGAGGGATTATTATTAGGCGTGTGGAGTAAGGAAACTTGCCCAAGGTTTCGCCCTCTGCCTGGAATTGAACTCAGGTCTCTCACTTGCAAAGCGAGTGCTCTAACCACTGAGCTACAGGACTCCACAATTGTCAAATCAATGTTCGATTATGTCAAACAGCAGCACGGACTCAATTTATCAGTCCCATCCTGCTGGGCGGGGCGGGGCGAAACCTTAGGCAAGTTACCTTACTCCACACTTCTGTTTACTTAACAGTAAGTAGGAACCCGGTTGTTAATCGATTGGCGGATCGCTTTCTAGTAATAACCTCGCCGATTTTTTTTTTATTTGATCACTCAATCTATGACTGTTTGTGGGATACTGCTGTTCACAATTGGCTGCCATGTTTTGCCCTCAAAATAGTCAGTCCACTTTACGATATATTCTATAATGTGCTTTGAGACGTCTGAACGATGTGATAAGGCGCTGTATCAAATGCGAGGATTATTATTGTGACTTGCTGCAAGGTAAAAGACATTTGATTCTGATGAGTTTTCTTTCTTGTTGGAGCAGAACTCAGGAAGAGCAGAATCTTGTGGCTTATCCTCATGATGGGAAGATTTACTTCTGCACCTCCAGGGAGATCCCTGCAAATCAGGAGCTACTATTTTACTATACCAGGGACTATGCCAGGCAGCTTGGTAAGTGGCACCTGGGACTGTCAGGAATGTGTGATAAGGATTGTCAGGTATGTGTGATATTGTAAAGTGGATTGACTGTATTTTGTGAGCAAAACACAACAGCCAGTTGCGCACAGCAGTGTCCCACAGACAATCATGGATTGAGTGACCTATTTTTTTAAAAATTGGAGGGATTATTACCCCGGAAAAAAATCCACCAATCGATTAACAACCGGGTTCCTACTTACTTCTGTGCACATTAGCTCCCGTGCATGCTTGCCCTCTACACATTTTTCACCCACAAATATACAGTCTATTCACTTCACTGTCCCTCAGGGCTCTGTCTTCGGTCCCCTCCTTTTCACCCTCTATATGCTCCCCCTTGGCATCATCCGCAGACATGGGGTTAACTTCCACATGTATGCGGATGACACCCAACTCTACCTTTCCTCCTCTACCCTCAACTCCACGACCACCGATGTCCTGACAACCTGCCTGTCCGACATCGAGTCCTGGACGAGAGACAACTTTCTCCAGCTCAACTTGCGCAAAACTGAGGCCCTCCTGATTGGCTCACGTCAGCGCCTCCGCACCTCAGGCGCTAACACCATCAGCATCCAAGGCTGCACTCTCCACCTCTCAAAGCCAGTCAGGAACCTCGGGGTACTGTTCGACCCTGAGCTGTCCTTTCTCCCTCATATCCGCGCCACAACTGGCACTGCCTTCCATCACCTCCGGAATGTCGCCAGACTACAGCACTACCTCACCCCTCACGCAGCTGAAACTCTGGTCCACGCCTTTATCACCTCAAGGCTGGACTACGGGATCTCTCTCCTCGCCGGCCTTCCCGGCACCTCCCTCCACAAGCTGCAGGTCATTCAGAACTCTGCAGCTCGTGTACTGTCCCGCACCAGGCTTCGCGACCACATCACTCCCACCCTCGCTCGCCTCCACTGGCTCCCCATCCCCCAGAGGATCGAATTCAAGATCCTCATCCTCACCTACAAGGCCATTCACGGCCTTGCTCTCCCCTACCTTTCCGACCTACTATCTCCCTACCTACCTGCCCGTACCCTCCGTTCCTCTGGCTCCGGTCTCCTCCACATACCCCGCCCCAACTGCCCTACCATTGGTGGCCGGGCCTTCAACCTCTCAGCGCCGAGGCTCTGGAACTCCATCCCCCAGTGCCTTCGCCGCCTCCTCCCTTTCCTCCTTCAAGGCCGGTCTCAAGACCTTTCTCTTTGACCGTGCCTTCAGCTCCCCTCTCGACTCTCTACCCCCTCCTCGCTCCCTCCCTTCCCTCCCCTCACCCTGACCATTTCCCCCCTCCTCGCTCCCTCCCCTTACCCTGACCATTTCCCCCCTGCTCGGGTCCTGACCCAACTGTACAGCGCCTTGGGACGTCCTCCTGACGTGAAAGGCGCTCTATAAATGGAATCTTGTTGTTGTTGTTGTTTACAGTCTATTCTGTGAAGTGCTTTGAGACATCGAGAAGATGTGAAAAGCGCTACATCAGATGCAGTGATTATTATTATTATTTTGTGTCAGCTTGGCTCAGTGGTAGTGCTCTCGCCTCTGATTCAGAAGGTTGTAGATTCAAGCCTCATGTCAAGACTTAGAATCACATTGTTTAAGCTGACACTCCAGTGCAGGAGTGCGGACTGTTGCATTGTTGGAGGTGCCATCCTTTGGATGAGACATTAAACAAAGGTCTGCCTGTTCAGGTGGACATTAAAGATCCCATGGCACTATTCAAAAAGAGATGGAGTTTCTCTCTCCCGGTATCCCGGCCAATAAATCCCCCAAATAAAATTTGTCCATGGGGCTGCTTGTGGGACATTGCTGTGCACAATTGGCTGCCGAGCTTCACTCACAAAATACAGTCAATCTACTTTGCAGTATATATATATATATCCATCCTATGAAGCACTTGAGATGTCTCAACAAGGTGATAAGGCGCTATATCAAATGCAAGGTGTATTCTTATATTTACCTGCGAAGTGTCGGTTCACCCTCGTCGGCAGTGATCTCAGAACTCCTGATGGCCCAAATTGCTTGGCATGGCCCAGCCCAGCACCTTCCAGCCAAGCTTTATCTTGACATTCATCAGCCCAGTCCAGCCAGATCCTGGTCAGCCTGAGCGAGTCATGATGACTGTATTTTGTTGCAGGAGCTGCAGAGCAGCCGCAGGGGCACGTGTGTCACTGTGGGAAGTCATGCAGGAGTCTAAGCGAGCTCAAGTCGCACCTGAGCAGCCATGGGCCAAGCCGGGAGAGGAAGTGGCAGTGCTCCATCTGCCCGCGGGCCTTCACCTCCTCTACAAAGCTCAACGTCCACGTCATGGGCCACATGGGCATGAAACCCCACAAATGTGATTTCTGCAGCAAGGCTTTCAGTGACCCCAGCAACCTCCGGACACACCTCAAGATTCACACAGGTGAGTGTGACAGTCACAATCCCTGCATTTGATAAGATTGCCAGAAACTTAGCCAAGTACTTCACAGGGAACTGTTGTCCAGACCCTCTCTGCCCTCCACCCCTCCTGATCCAAGCCCCAGCTCGGGTGCAAATCTTTGATTGTCCAGCATTTTGGGACATCCTGCCGATGTAAAAGGTGCTTGGCAAATGTAATTTCCTTGCAGGTGGTCAACGGAAGTGCCCACGTATCAGTTTTACACTGCATCTTGTTGAACTGCAATTATTATACAGGGAACGTTGGAATTTGCTGCTGTTTGGTGGGGCGAAGGAGAAAGAGTTTGGGTGGGACCCTGCAGCGGTTGTGTTTTTTTTTAATTTAAAAAAAAATGGTCACTCAATTCAAGACTGTTTGTGGAATACTGCTATGTGCAATTGGCTGCCGAATTTTGCCTTCAAAATATAGTCATTCCACTTTACAGTATATTCTGTGAAGCTCTTTGAGATGTCTGGATGACATGGTAAGGCACTTTATCAAATGTAAGGGTTACAAAAGGGAAGTCTTGCTTGACTAACCTTTTAGAATTTTTTGAGGATGTATCCAGCAGGTTGGATAAGGGGGAACCAGTAGATGTGGTATATTTGGATTTTAGGAAGGCATTTGACAAGGTGCCACACAAAAGGCTGTTACTCAAGATCAAGGCCCACGGGATTAATGGGAAAATATTAACATGGATAGAAGAGTGGCTATCGGGTAGAAAGCAGAGTAGTGATAAACGGATCATTCTCGAATTGGCAGGATGTAACTAGTGGAGTGCCACAAGGATCAGTGCTTGGGCCTCAGCTATTTACCATTTACATCAATGATCTGGACGAGGACATTGAATGTAATGTGTCTAAATTCGCGGATGATACTAAACTAGGTAGCAGAGTGAGCTCTCAGGATGATGCAAAAAGATTGCAACAAGATATAGATAGGCTCGGGGAGTGGGCAAGTAGGTGGCAGATGGAATTCAATGTTAGCAAGTGTGAAATTATTCACCTTGGTAGCAAGAATAAAAGAACAGATTATTTTCTGGAAGGGGAGAAGTTAGATAGTGTTAGTATTCAAAGGGATTTGGGTGTCCTTGTACACCAGTCCCAAAAAGTTAGTTTGCAGGTGCAGCAAGCAACTAAGAAGGCGAACGGCATGTTAGCGTTCATTTCGAAAGGTTTAGAATATAAGAGTAGGGAAGTCTTGCTGCAACTGTATAGGGCTTTGGTGAGACCGCACCTAGAGTATTGTGTGCAGTTTTGGTCTCCTTATTTAAAAAAGGACATACTTGCCCTAGAGGGGGTGCAGCGTAGATTCACTCGGTTAGTTCCTGGGATGAGGGGACTGACCTATGAGGATAGGCGGAATAAACTAGGGCTGTATTCTCTAGAGTACAGAAGAATTAGGGGAGATCTTATTGAAACTTATAAGATTCTTAAAGGGCTGATAAAGTAGACACTGAGGGACTGTTTCCCCTGATAGGAGAATCTATAACCAGGGGTCAGTCTTAAAATTAAGGGTCAGCCTTTTAGAACAGAGTTGAGGAAACATTTCTTCACTCAGAGGATAGTGAACTTATAGAATTCACTACCCCAGAAGGCTGTAGATGCTCAGTCCTTGAACATTTTCAAGGCTGAGACTGATAGATTCTTGAAAAATAGAGGGATTAGGGGATATGGGGATAGGGCAGGTAATCAGAGTTAGGTGAGAAGATCAGCCATGATCTTATTGAATGGCGGAGCAGGCACGAAGGGCCGAATGGCCTACTCCTGCTCCTGATTATTATGTTCTTATGTTAGTATATTCTAGGGGGTGCGTAGGCGGTATGGAGTTGGGGTGAGGTGTTGGAGGGGGTTGGATTCCAACTTTGAAGACTGCTCTTTCAGTCACCCACCTACCCCCACCTTCCCTAGCCTCCACCCATCCTGATCCCAAACCCCCAACTTGGGTGCAAATCCTTGACTGTGTAGGGCTTTGGGCAGTCCCCCCAATGTGAAAGGTGCTATACAACTGTAAGTTGTTGTTGCTGTTGTTGGAGTGTGGTGCGGGGGTGGTGGGAATGCATATTGTGTTGATTCTAGTGGGTTTGGTGTGTGTTTGTGGGTAGGTGGGGGGTGCTTGTTGGATGCTAGGGTGACTTGTTTGTTGCTCAGGGTGACTTGTGCTGTTGCTGACACAGGTCAAAAGAACTATCGGTGCGAGATGTGTGACCGCTCCTTTACCCAGAAGGCTCACCTGGCATCACACATGATCATCCACACGGGGGCCAAGAACCTCAAGTGCGATTATTGTGACAAGATGTTCATGAGGCGGCAGGACTTGCGGCAGCACATACTAACCCACACACAGTAAGGCACACGAGTGAAGCAATGTCACGCGCGCTCCATCCCATCGACAAGCTGTGGTGTCAAGGTCTCAGGCAATCGGCAATCATCCTGTAAAGTAAGGGTTACCGCAATTGTCTCGCAAGCGAGAGGTCCTGGGTTCGATTCCCGGGTGAGGCAAAACCTTAAGGCAAGTTTCCTTACTCCACACGCCTGTTTATCTAGCAGTAAGTAGGAACCTGCTTGGCAGTCAATTGGTGACGTTCTGGAGGTAATAATCCCTCCAACTCTCCCCATCCCAAAAATTTGGTAACTCACTCCACGACTGCTTGTGAGACACTGCTGTGTTCAATTGGCTGCTGAGTTTTTCCCACAAAATACACAATCAATCTGCTTTACAATATTCTGTGAAGCGCTTTGAGATGTCTCAATGGCGTGATAAAGTGCTATATCAAATGCAATGATTATTTTTATGCTTATTCTCCCTCTGTCTCGTGTGCACTACATGGCTATTGACCAGTGACATGCTGACAGTCAATATTTCTCATGTTTCAGTCCCTCTAACCCACCATCAGCGGTCGGACCTTCAGCCTTTCCGCCACCACCCTTTGGAACTCCATCCCACAGTCCCTTCGCCTCACCAACTCCCTTGCCTCCTACAAGGCCCGTCTCAGGACCTTCCTCTTTGAACGCACCTTCGGCCACCCTCCTACCCCCACCCTCCCTGCCCTCCAGCACTCCTGATCCCAACCCTCAGCTCATGTGCAAATCCTGGACTGTCCAGCGCCATGGGACTTCCACCCGATGTGAATGGCACTATACAAATGTTGTTGTTGTTTGTTGTTTCTAACTGAGCCAGGCTGTCGCTTTGTATTATCATTATAACACCATCAATTTCATTCAGCAGTCTTCCTTTTCAATTGGTTTTATGCAGAGAACGGCAGATCAAGTGCCCGAATTGTGACAAGCTTTTCTGGCGTTCTACCCACTTAAGGAAGCACCTGAACTCACACGAAGGAAGGAGGGATTTCATCTGTGAGAAGTGCTCCAAGGCTTTCCTCACCAAGTACCACCTCACCAGACACCTCAAGATCTGCAAAGGCTCCAAGGTATCCCTGCCCACACGTGAACTGGGTGAAGAGGAAGAGGAGATGGACAGTGAAGAAGATGGGCTGTTGCAGTCGAGTGATGCAGTTTGCCGGCTGAATGATGGAGCATACACCACAGCAGATGGCTCACAGTAGACTCGTTGGTTTAAGTACACATAGTTCAGTGTTGGGACATCTTCATTCAGCATTCTCTCTCTGGCAGAGTAAGTGACTGACCAGCAGATGCCACTGTATCAGAGGTCCTCAAAATCCAGAATATTGTTGCTGCAATGTGCTGAGTCTAACAAATGGGGAGAGAAGCACCCTCAATGAAGTGCCGGTGCAGATTTTGCAGGGTGCAGTGACTGCTGATCATTTCTGGTGAATTTCATAATGAATATGCCTGGCCAGTGTCAATCCAAGCCAAGTAATACGTATTACATGTGTGTGCATATATCTCAAGATATTTGTGTGTATTCCCCAAATATAAAGGATGTGGAATTGGGGTGTGGGGGAGGTACCTGGTGGGTATATGTGGGTAAAAGCAAAGAATTGGAGTGGACGAATGCTGTGTATCCCTCTCCCACTAATTTCCAATCCATGTACTGCAGGGCAGTCACATTCTTACCCTTCCACGTGTTCTGGGTATCTTTATTTTATCTGAATATCTCCCCAGTAAATATCTCCCCAGTAAAATTCCCGTTCCATATTTTCTTAACTCCATCTGAAATGTGAGCAACTAGAGCAGGGGACGTGTGCATTACTGACTACCGACCCAAAGCAGAGTCATCGAGTTCTGGTCATTGATTGAGAGCTACAGGGGGAGTCTGCGCTGTGGTCAGGGAGCTCTGGGAGTTCCCAATAAGGACAGAGGGCCTTGGGAGAATCTGTTATGTACGGGACTGAGTGAGAGCTGGATGCAGATCTTGGGTTCTGGGAATGTTGGAGAAACAGGAAGCTCCAGGAGGCCTGATGTGGAGCTGCCTCGGGCCCTTTGATATTTATGTCATTTTAAGTGAAATTTAAATTTTTTTAAAATCATGTGGGAAGGAAAGGGAAGGATTTAGGCAGCAAACTGCATACTTCCATGTAATATTTGTAAATATGGTATTCTCTTAATATACCTTTCCCTTCTCCATAATAAAGGCTGATTGGAAGCCCAGGGTTCTTACGATGAAACCAGTATTTTTGTTTTTTTGGTCAGCTGTCCATCTGACGTGCAGCAATCTGTTGTTGTGATCAAGAATGTCCAAACCAGAAAAAGTTAAAACAGAAATTGGGAACTATGGATGTTTATAACACAAGAGGCTTTTCAGACTATGTCTTTGCCGGACATGGCAATTTCCTTGTGTTTTAAATGGAAGATACTTAAAAAGGAAAACTTTGCAGGGCTATGAGGTAAAAGCGGGGGAGTGGGATTAGTTGGAGGTTCTTTCAAAGAGTTGGCACAAACATGATGGGCCGAATGGCCTCCTTCTGTGCTTTAACACACTATGGTTCCTTGAATGTGTACTCTCTCCCTTGAGGGGCACACCCCACTTCCCTAATTTCTGAGAAGATGAGGTGCAAGTTGGTAAGAGTCAAGGATTGGGAACCTCCAGAGTGTTTAACGTTTTATTTGAGTATCTTGGCCTCAACCTTCCTCCAAAAAACACATTCCTGTTGTAAATTACTCTATAAAGAAATAATTTGTGTTTTTGATTTCATAACCTTAATAATATTAATTCTTGAATGTGATATAGTGCTTTATCACGTCTTCGAGATATCTCAAAGCGCTTCACAGTTTAAAGTGTACTGTAAAGTGAACTGTTTATATATTTTTATATCTTAAGGATGCAATTTTTGCAAGTCACAAGCAATTCTGCGTGAGGCTGAAGCCCAGGAACAGATGCACGTGTGATCATGATCTGTGTAATAGACGTTTATTTACACCAATTTACTTTCCATATAATTAATCAGGTGGACTTGCAGGTATGCACACAGAGAAGACCCTATGAAAAAAAAGACAAAAGCTTATGTCAAGGATTTCATTTCACAAGGTACATCTTAAAATCACCACACTGAATGAGGCACAGAAGTGGCTGCAGTGCAATTGAGCCACATACACTAAAAGAACAAGTTCAAAATCTAGACAGCTCAGACGCACCAACAGTTCGGGATACAAAACCTATGAGGCCTTCACCCACCTCAAGTTTAAGATAATTCAAAGATAGGTGGAAGTGTAGGTAATAATAATTAATAATACTTGCATTTGATATCGCGCCTTATCCAATTGCGTACAGCAGTTGTGGATTGAGTAATCAAATTATTCTAATTATTACGTATTATAATAATCCTAGACATCTCAAAGCATAATATGAAGCTCTTCCCATTTTGCTCACATACGTTTTGCAAGTTGAGAGCAGAAACAAAGAGAATTGGACCTGGACACCCAGACTGTCAGCTGCACTTCATGGGTTTGTTTCCCGGTAGGGCGAAACGTTGGGCAGGTTTCCTTACTCCACACGCCTCTGTTTACCTAGCAGTAAGTAGGAACCTGGTTGTTAGTCGTTTGGTGCACCACTTTTCCAGGGGTAATAAATAATTCCTTAAAAAAAACTAATAATAAATTGGTCACTCAATTCACAACAGTTTGTGGGACACTGCTGTGCGCAATTGGCTGCCACATTTCGCCCATAAAATATAGTCAATTCACTTTACAGTATATTCTGTGAAGCACTTTGAGAAGTCTCGAAGACATGATAAGGCGCTATAGCAAATGCAAGATTATTATTATATCACATCATATAGTCACTGGCATTAGGGCAATGTGCAGTGTAAGGGAAGGCTGGTGTGAAAGGCAAAGTCTTTTTACTGTTTTTTTTACTGTTTCAACCCCAACCAAGCAAGCACAGTTACACAGCCTTACTCTGAGTACAGCAGTTGCCTGTAAATAAATGACTTATTCTTCTTCATCCCAAGATCAGATTGCGAGCTTGTGAAAAGGAACGTGTTGGGATGGAAGGAGAGAGAGCGCGAGGGAAAGCGAGTGTGAGAGAAGTGAAAAAAAGAGGGAAGGAGAGAGCAAGCACGTGGTAGGTATGGGTAGGGTGATGAAGCTCATCTTTAGAGCTTTAGACAACACAGTGAGCCAGCAAAGATTGCTAACACCTCTCATGCCTACTGAACAGTCAGTATCTTGAGAAAAGATAGAAACTTGAGAAACAGATCCAGTTATTTATGAGGTAAGTCCTCATCATTGTTCCATACCTCTGAACAAGAATAATTTTTAAAAAGCCCTGAGAATGAAAGGGAGGAAGTATTGGGAGTAAAATAAGTGTTGTGGAAAAGTCCAGCAACCTCCAAACATCCATTGTACTTACTGCATCAGATCCTAGTTATTCTTCATCTAGGGGAGGGATACCCAGCTCCTCATCGGTCCATTTGGAAGGATCAGGATAAGGGAAGTGCCCCTGTCAGAAAAACAAATTACAGCTTTTAGAGGAACTCATGTAACACTCTCACTCCCACCACACTCTCATCACACTGTCAGCATGGAATAAATATACTGTAAAGCTTCCAATACAGCTTTGATTCAAACACTCCCAGGGCTGCAGCATATTTCAGATTCAAAGTTCCACCTTTCCAGTCAGTACTCCCAGAATATTTGCACCATAGGTTAGATAAGGAAATGTTATAGCCTATGTTACAGCTAAACATTTTACAGTAATTTGTGCTAAGTTTAGTTTTCCTTGCAGGCAACCGTAACAGCCATTTTGGATACAATATCCCACGAACCATGAGGTGGATGACAAATGTAGCTGGAGGATTGTTGGCCAGGTACTGGGAGGAACTCCCTCTCTTTCCCTACAGCTTCATCTTCGCTGTCCATCTTAAATCAAACGGGTAGGACCTCAGTTTATGTTAAATATGTAAGGTATCAGATTGGCTCAGTTGGCAATAATACTTGCATTTGATAGCACCTTATCACATTGTTGAGATTTCTCAAAGCCCTTCAAAGGATATACTGTAAAGTGTATTATAATAATAATAATAATCCTTGCATTTGATATAGCGTTTTTCACGTCGGGAGGACGTCCCAAAGCGCTCCACAGAACACCCTGTAAACTGAATTGGCTGTATATTTGTGGGCGAACGCGGCAGCCAATTGCGCACAGCAATGTCCCACAAACAGTCGTAGATTGAAAATGACCAATTTATTATTGTTTTTGTTTTTTGGAGGGATTATTATTAGGCTCTGTGTGGAGTAAGGAAACTTGCCCGAGGTATCGCTCTGCCTGGAATTAAATTCAGGTCTCTCACTTGCAAAGCGAGTGCTCTAACCACTGAGCTACAGGACTCCACAATAGTATTAACTATTTTGTAGGCAAATATAGGACACTGAGTCAGATTATGGGATCTACTCATTCACAAACTGCAACTCATCTGAAACTCCACTGCACACATCCTCGCCTGTACCAAATCTTTCACACCAATCACCCCAGTCCTTGCCAGGCTCCACTCTCTCCCAGAGGATCTTGTTAAAATCTATCACCCTCACCTACACGTCCATCCATTCTGTGGCCTACTATCTCTGCAATCATCTCTGACTCTACTCCTCAGCTAACTCTGGTTGGCTGCACCCCACCCCCCACTACCCTTCCCGCTCCACCATCAGCTGAGCCTTCCGTTGCTGCGTCCCGATCCTCTGGAACTCTCCCTTTACCGTTCCGCTATGATTCCTCTTTCTGCCTTTCAGACCCTACACAAATCAAACGTTTCAAATGTACTTATGACCACCACCACCCACTTGTGCCAACTCCTTTGCTCAGGATCCAACCCATCTTTGTAAAGTGATCCTATGTGAATATAAATGCAAGTTGTTGTTCAAGATCCACTTCGGGACTTTGTACACCAAGGCAATGTTGACAATGCAGTGGTGGGTGAGCAGCTACACATTTTTAATTTACCCCATACATTGGGACATTGCTGAACGCAAAGTGGTTCCCACATTGGCCTACAAATTGTCACTTCACATATAAATCTATAGCTCTTAGAGATTGGAACGTGATAAAGCACGAGATGAAATGATTTTATTATATTCCTGTATAGTTATTTTATCATAAAGATGGCACCTCCAGAAATGCAACACAAGTTATTGGCGCTACAATTCAACATGTGATATCACCTTGCAGGAGAAAAGGGAATAAAGTTACAGGAATTTTGTTTATAAACAGCTTCCATTAACCATGATTAACCATTAATAGCTGATGATATTACAGAAGAAGATAAGAGAGCTAGAAAAGATTGGAACAAGTTCCCTACTTAAGATTCCTGGTCGCCAAACAAAGTGTCAATTATGAGGTAACAGTAGGGCTCTGAGCTTGACTTACAAAGACTGCATCAGGGTTGTGCCACAGGTGCCAGAGAATCCAGAACCACATGAAACTGCTGAGAAACTGTGACTGCCACACCTGAGTCTTGGTTACTTCTGGATACTGTCTGTATCGGGACTCAATGTGGACATCACCACCAGCTCTGCGATAGAAGAAAAAATAAATGTGAAAGGTAGAATTAAATCAATCTGCAGGGTAACAATAGAAATTCAGTCATTTTAACTTTTATAAAAAGACAAACTGGCTTTTATACTTTGGGAAAAATGGCAGGAGATTAACTTTATCAGGCAGCCACAGATCAGTAATTCATGCAGGATTCTTGCATTTCTGAATTGAGGAAGGGTGTTCCAGAGTTTCAGGGCATAGTGGCTGAAAGCAAGGCCACCGATAGTCAAATGGAGGGCATGAGGGACTTACAAGAGGCAGGAGCCAGTCGAGAGGAGGCAGCTGGTAGTGGGTGGTTTGTAAGGTAGGACCTGAACCAGGCTAATGCGGTCCCACTAAGGTGAATGAGAGAGGAGAGGTGGTGGATGAGGATGGCATAGTCAATTGTGTTGAATGCGGCGGAGAGTTCCAGGTGGACGAGGAGGCAGAGGGAGCCCTGGTCACAGACAGTGTGGGTCGTTTGTGACCTTGACAAGCACCGTCTCTGTGCTATGGGCAGGGCAGAAACCAGACTGGAGGGACTTGAGGAGGCAGTGAAGGGAGAAGTGAGAGGAAAGCTGGTTAGCGGCAATGCATTCCAGAGTTTTGGCAAGGAAAGGCAGGTTGGAAATGGGATGGTATTTTGTAAAGTTGGAAGGGTCGCGGTCGGATTTTTTGAGGAGGGGAGTGATGACAGCAGTTTTAAGGGGGAGAGGAACAGAACCTGAGGAGAGCGACTGGTTAACTGTGATGACCAGCAGCAGGGAGCAGAGTGGCTGTTATAACGGGGTGCGGGTAGATTTGGAGCCAGACCTGGATTTCAGGGGGCAAGGTAGTTGAGGGTTGCAGTGAGACGATGGTTTTACAGCTTGATGGCTGCATCAGGGCAGCTGCAGGTGGAAGTCCGGAGGGAGAAGACATCTAAGGGACTCGGGTGGAAGCGTATTCTAAGGTCAGAAAAGATGGTGCAGGGCTTGGCAGAAGGGAGAGGGATGCGGGAGGAGAGATGAGAATATGGTTTGTTGCCACAAAGCGCTGTATCAAATGCAAGGATTCTTATCATCTCAAGACTGCATCCGACTCGCTCGCTCTCTCTCTCGCTCCCTCTCTCGCTCAAGGCCCATCTCAAAAACCTCCCTCTGACAAAGCTTTCGGTCACCCAGCCCCCCCCCCCCCGGCTCGGGGTGCACAGCCAGTGCGGTTGATAGCACTTTGAAACGTTGTCCCTACAGGAAGGCGCCTTCCCCCGTACACTGTCTTGTTAAGGGTTGACCTCCGCTTCACAGCGCGTTCACCTTGTCATGTAAACAGAGGCCATTCCCCCCACACTTTAATTTCTTCCCTACAACCCACACACATAACAGTCACACACCTCCTCAGTGGGGCCTGTCCTCGGCCCACTCCCGGGCCGGAGAAGCGCAACGCCCCCACTCCTCTATACAGTGCCGCTCCGACGGCTCTCAGCGCGGCCATAGTGTCAGCGCCGCCGACCCTTCGCCTCAGCAGCAACCACAGCGCCTCCCATTGGACAACCTCAAAGGCTGTACCTTCAAGCAACAGCACTCCCCATTGGACAGTCCGGAGCACGCGCTGACTCTGGCTCTGACAGTCGGGCTCGCGCCTCGGCGGTTGGCGGCTCTGCGCAGCTCCAGGAGTTTGTTGATTTGTAGCCCCGAATTCAACCAAACAGCGGCGGCGGCGGCCATCAGTACAAGTCCCTGTGACGGCAGCAGGTCATCCCAGGCCCAGGCCAGGCCAGGCCAGGCCCAGGGATCCGCACCCGAGCTGGTGGTTGGAATCAGGACGGGGGCGGTGGGTTGGAGGGTGACCAAAGGCACGGTCACAGTGGAGGGTTTAGCCGGTCTCGGAGGGGCGGTGGGATGGCGTTCCAGAGGCTGAAGACCCACAAACAGACATGGATTAAAGTGACATATTATTTTTAACGCACAGTACAGTACAAACCAATTAAAACACCCAATCTGGCAACATTGCCCTTCGCCGGCAATCACAGCGCCTCACAATGCACAGCCCCCGAGGCCCTCCTTTTGTGTGTGATAAACCCGGCTTTGGGCATTTGCTTTTTTTTATTTAAATCTGCAAAACTTTTTTGACTTTTCTTTGAAGAACTTTTTCTGACACGGTTTCAGAAGCACTAAATCTAAAGTGGTTTCAGAAGCACTAAATCTAAAGTGGCCAATTTGCTTCTCCATATAAGAGGCAACACAGAATTTTGGGCAAAAATCATATTTTTAATTTCTGGGAATCCTAGGAGGGAGGAACAAACAAAAGACATCTTGGTTTACTGCTGCCGATTCAACATGCTCTGACAGCAGGTGGATTGTTTTTGTCTGAAAGGCTGCCTGGCCCTGAAATACCCGCAAAGTCCAGGAGAGAAGCCAGCAAAAGGCTCTGCAAAAAGTTTCTCACCCAATAAGGGGCACAACATGGTAAGAGAGGGCCAAGAATCTGGGGTCTTTTAATAGGAGACATCCATCCAAGTGTGAGGGAAATCACTTGAGTGAGAAGGAAAATTGTCTGAGGAGGAAATGGTTTGAGCATGATTGGGCTGAGAGTCATGGTTTGGGTCTGAGAAGGGAATGGTGCTGTGAGTGGTGTGAAAAGGGCATTTTAGCTTTATGTGAAGCAATGGTGTGGTGGGTGAGGGATGTGAAGCAGGCTGGAGCCCGTTGAGCAGAGGGAGCGAATTGGTTGGTTGGGGGTTAGGAGGTCATGGAGGTAGGAAGAAGCAAACCTTCATGTGCCACAATGTCATCCACTCAATGCAGATCCCTGCCAAACTGTGGGAGTTCACCTGCAAATGCAGTCACTACACTTTACATTATATGTATGCTGTGTCATGCTTTGAGATGTCCTCCCAATGTGAAAGGTTATATATCAAACAAGAATTATTATCACCCTCAATTTGGTTTACATGTTCCCTGTTCTTTGCAACTCCCTGTCCTTCAAAGCCACAGTTTGGTCTCTTCAGCAAATTTAAGACTACTTTGTTTCTGTCAACATTACAATATTATGGGACTTCAATTTGCAGTCCATGTCCAGGTCAGCTGGGTGGGTGAGGTGTGGAAATTTGCCATGTTTCAAGAGTATGCAAACAGAGATCCACATCTCTCTTGTCTCCTACAAATAAAAAATTCCCTGTGTCTGGAATTGTGTATTCTGAGAATGTTACCCTGTGTGGAGGGCGCTATACAAGTACAAGTTGTTGCTGTTCTCTCTACTTGGAGATGCACACCCCATTTACTTAATTCCAGAGAACACCAGGTGCAAAGCAAAGGCTTGAGAACCCAAGAGTGTGTTTTGAGGAGCCAGCTAAAACTGTCAAAAGTGGAACATTAATCAGGTCTACTCTAGCCTCTCAGTGGTTAGAGCACTCGCCTTGCAAGCGAGACACCTGGGTTCAATTCCAGGCAGGGCGAAACCCTGGGCAAGTTTCCTTACTCCACACACCTAATAATAATCCCTCCAAAAAACAAAAACAGTAATAAATTGGTCATTTTCAATCTACGACTGTTTGTGGGACACTGCTGTGCGCAATTGGCTGTCGTGTTTCACCCACAAATATACAGTCAATTCACTTTACAGCTTATTCTGTGAAGCGTTTTGAGACGTCTAGAAGATGTGAAAAGCACTATATCAAATGCAAGGATTATTATTGTGACCTGCATCAAATGCAAGCTATTGAAACAATAGTTGGTTGTGGAACCTTGTGCATAAAATGGCTGCTGCATTTTTCCCTGCAAAGTTAGCACTGACATAGGTGCTAGTAAATGCAAGGATTACTGACTTATTTATTGTCCACAGAAACTCCTCCCAAGGGCGATTTGAACAGAATGAAGCCAGCGAAGAAAATTCAACAAGCTAATTTTCTCAGCACCAAGTAGGAATGGCAGGAGGACAAGAACTTTGATGAATAATGATGGATGGCTCAGATTAGCGATGCCGCCATAACTCATTAAACTCTGGAACAGCGTTGGGACCCAAGATTCTGGAACTCGGGTGTTGAATTCTGCACTCATCAGTTTGCTGCTGGAATCCAGGAGTTAGGTGTGTGATTAGTTGAGCATCACTGATAGTTTCTTACCCTCCCCGAAGGGCTCTGTAAGATTATATTTGTGATGCTTAATGTTTTTTAAGGCTCTTAATTTTAAGGTTTAAGGCTTTTATATACTATTAGAATGTAAACTTCCCATAATCCTTTCATAAGGTTGTTTGCTTTAATGACTAGCTTACGGCCCCTGAGTGGGTACATCTGCTAATTAGCATTAGCGAAGGTAGAGATACATTGGCTTTACCTGGCTGAGGTCAGTTTCTGATTATATTTCATATTTTCCTGGGAAGATGTTCACTCCTCTGAGATTTGAATAATCAGGTCCTGGAGCACAGATGTGGGAACAAACAACCTCAGAAAAAAAAGGCTACAGTCCCATCCACCTGCTTATCTCAAGACTGAGAAGCTTGCAAGCTGCAGAAGGCTGGCCAAAAGTTGTCCATCTCTCTCTGCAAAACAGCCTGGTCACTGGCAGCTTAAGGGTGGAGCTACACCTTCATTTTCTCAGGAAAAACTAGAAACAAAAGCAGGGAAACTTACAAATCTGATTCAAGGGGAGGCAGAGTTAAAAACACTTAAAAGAGAGATGCAACATCAGAAAGGTCGGAGTCGATGTAGAAGGTTAATGCATCTATGGTCTCAGAATAAGCTAGGCTAGTTTGAGTTTCTGGCCTTTTGTATTATTTAATAAATTATTGGATTATTACACAACTGTATTGGTCGTCTCTATCCAAATGTCTTACAGCTCTTTGAACTCTCGTATTGAATAAATCATAGGGATGGATGGATACAGTCAAGCCCAATCTTGTCCTTACACACTGGATAGATATCAGGATTTGAGCCATTGGTTGATATTTCTTCTCTCTATCAAAGCCTGTAGGCTCAACTGCTGCATTCATTTCCTTGTTCATTTCCCCAGGTATTTCAACATTCCAGATTGCAACGTGAAAACCATTGTGCAATAAACAGCACCACTTCACTCCTCATGGGCACGGTCAATAATGTGCCTGTCTCTTGGTCAACAATCTGATGATCATTACTGTAAAGCAGGTATGTCCTGGGTTTTCTCATTCAGAGAAAGTCTTCAAGGACAATGGTTGGACGTGCATTACTCAAATCAACGTGAAACAAAGCACAAGCCTGGACTAAAATGACACACTCAATGTGTCCATCTTGCTTGGCAGTTTGTTCAAGCCTCAACTCAGAATTTGAGCTTGTAATTGAGGTTGATACTCCAGTGCAGTTCATTGCAGAAATGTTAAGTCAATGTTAAATCCTGCCTTACCGTTGGGCAGATGTTGAAGATTCCCTGGTACTGTGCAGAAAAGATGAATTATACTGGTGTTCTTGCCAATAGTCTTCATTCAAATTCAATGAAATACAACAAGTGAAACATTGCTCACAAGATATGAGTTACAACATTTCATTTTAGCAGATTCCAAAGCAATTTTGCACTGTTTTAGGTATTGAGTGCAAGATCTTTTACAAGTATTTTATTACTCATGTATTTGGAGTCATCCAGTTTTACAAGTTATGTCTATTCTGAATATTAAACCCTTAAAGATCAATAGGTAATGTAGGTAACTATACAGAACAGCAATATAATAGATGTACAATAACATTTATAAACACTTACATTTATATAGTGCCTTTCATGTCAGGAGGACGTACCAAAGCGCTTAACAATACTAGCCACACACAGTTCAGTCCTCACATGGGTATATGTTGAGGCCACAGGCAACCAGCAATAAAGCCGATACATTGAATATCCAGCTCAGTTTTGAAGTGATTCACAGATTAGAAGTCACAGTGGTGCTTCTCTCTCCTTCAGGTACCTTGAAATACCCAAATTAAAATTGTGGAGTGATTTTAAGGTCCTCACTCTCTTGTATTAAACCCTTCATGCCATGGTATCCCCTTATCTCTCTGAGACACCACCCTGCATGGAGGGTGCTATATAAGTGCAAATTGTTGTTGATCTTAGACCCCACTCCTCTGATCACCCACTGCCTGACTTGCGTTTCTTGAGCATTCTCCAAAAGCCCCCACTCTTCCTCTCGCCACACCTCCATCAGCCTTCAGATTCTTATCCTTTACCTCTGACTCTTATTCCCTCTCTGATCTGTCCATGTACTGCTAAGAAACCAATCTCTTTTACTATACCTTTGGTCACCTCTTCCTTGCTGGGCATCCAACGATGTCTTTGCAAAGTTCTCCGAGAACTGAACCTACATTATGAAAAGCACTATATAAATGGAAGTTGTTGTTGTCTTGTAGCAATAGTCAAAATGCAAGGAATAGTTACAATTCACCTGAAGTGTGCTTACTGGTGAGATCACCTCACCCTTCCAACTCTTGCACCTACCACTTCAGGTAGGCTCTTAAATTTACATTATTTGTTGAAAAAAAGGAGACAAAACAAGATGAGCCCAGCACCACAAGGCACCATCAAAGCACAGCAATACAGCATTGCCACAGCACCACACAGCATCACCACCACAGCAGTCACACACAACACCATCACAGCACTACACGGCATCACCATCAACACCACATGGCACCACCACAGACCGTAACACATGGCATCACCAGAGCACAGCAATACATGGCATTATCACCAAAGCACAGTGACACACGGCATCACCACCAGAGCACAGCACCACATGGCAACACCGCCAGAGCAGTGTTCTAGTGTATCCTGATAACCCCTTGCCAATCCAAAGTATCAGTTCAATTGGCCTATGCTAATCATAGAATCATATAATATTACAGCACAGAAGGAGGCCATTTGGCCCATCATGCCTGTCCCGGCTCTTTGCAAGAGCTACCAACTAGTCCCACTCTCCCGCTCTTTCCCTATATCCTTCCAAATTTTTACTTTTCAAGTGCCTATCTAATTCCCATTTGAAAGTTGTTACTGAATCTGTTTCCATCACTCTTTCAGGCAGTGCCATTCCAAACCATAACTCTCTATATTAAAAATTTTTTCTTCATATCCCCTCTGGTTCTTTTGCTTATTATCTTAAATGTGCCCCGATTACTGACCCACTTGCCAGTGGAAACAATTTCTCCCTATCTACTCTTATCAAAACCCCTCATAATTTTGAATATATCTATTATATCTCCCATTAATCTTCTCTGCTCTAAGAACAATCCAAGCTTTTCTAGTCTCTCCATATAACCAAAGTCCCTCATTCCTGGTACCATTCTGGTAAATTTCCTCTGCACCCTCTCCAAGGTCTCGATATCCTTCCTAAAGTATGCTGTCCAGAATCGGACACAATACTCCAGCCGAGGCCTAACCATAATAATAAAAGGATAGCAGAACTTCCTTCATTTTGTATTCTCTAAAGCCAGGGATCCCAAATACTGCTTTTTTAAAAAAAACACACAGCTCTATCAAGCTGTCCCGCCACCTTCAAAGACAAGATGAGCGCAGCCACAGGTATGTGAACCCCAGGCCTCTCTGCTCCTGTAGCCCCTTTAAAACGGTACCATTTATTGTATATTGCTTCTCCTCATTCTTCCTCCCAAAATGCATCACCTCACACTTCTCTGCATTAAACCTCATCTGCCGATGTCTGCCCGTTTCACCAGTCTGTCTTTGTCCCCCTGCAGTCTACTACCATCCACCTCACTGTTTACCACGTTCCCAGGTTTTGTGTCATCTGCAAACTTTAAAATTTTGCTCTTTATACCCAAGTCCAAGTCATTCATATGTATCAAAAAGAGCAGTGGACCTTATACCGACCACTAGTGTCCCCACTGTATACTGCCCTCCAGTCTGAAAAACAACCATTCTGCTTTCTGACTCCCAGCCAATTTTGTATCCAGGCTGCCACTGTTCCTTTTATTCCATGGGCTTCAATTTTGCTAACTAGTCTGTTATGTGTCACCTTATCAAATGCCTTCTGAAAGTCCATATACACTACATCAACTGTACTACCATCATAAATCCTCTTCATTATATCAACAAAGAACTCAGTTAAGTTTGTCAGACACAATTTGCCTTTAACAAATCTGTGTTGACTGTCATTAATTAACTTACGTTTTTCTGAGTGAAAATTAATTTTGTCCCAAATTATGGTCTCTAGATGTTTCCCACCACCGAAGTTAGGCTGACTGGGCTGCAGTTACCAGGTTTACCCCTCTCCCCTTTTTGAACATTTGCAACCCTCCAGTCCTGAGGCATTACTCCCATATCCAAGGAGGATTGAAAGATTGTGACCAGAGCCTCCGCTGTTTCCACCCGAACTTTCTTCAGCAATCGAGGATGCATCCCATCCAGACCGGGTCACTTTTCCACTGAGACAGGAGGTTCTTAAAAGATTAGCAGCACTCAATCTATTTTTATCCTATCCAATTTCTCTACCACCTCCTCCTCCTTTACTGTGTCAAAGAGGTGGCATCCTCTTTTGTGAAGACAGATGCAAGGTACCTATGCATTCAGTACCTCAGCCATGCCCTCTGCCTCCACAAGAAGTTCCTTTTTTGGTCCCTAATCAGCCCCAACCTTGCTTTGACCATCCTTTTACTCTTTATGTGTTTATAGAAGACTTTAGTGTTCCTTTTTATGTTACCTGCTAATCTTTTCTTATACACTCTCCTTGCCACTCATTCCCCTTTTCAGTTTTCCTCTGCACTTTCTGTATTCTGCTCGATTCTCAAATGTATTTTGAATCTGACATTTATCATAAACCTCCTTTTTCTGTTTCATCTTCATGCCAATATCCTTAAGTCATCCAGGGAGCTCTAGCTTTGGATGCCCTACTTTACCCCATCATGGGAATGTGTTTGATCTGTACTCCAACTATCTCCTCCTTGAAGGCCTCCTATTGCTTGTTTACCATTTTATATAATAATAATCCTTGCATTTGATATAGCGCTTTTCACGTCTGGAGGACGTCCCAAAGCGCTTCACAGAACACACTGTAAAGTGAATTGACTGTATATTTGTGGGCGAACGCGGCAGCCAATTGCACACAGCAATGTCCCACAAACAGTCGTAGATTGAAAATGACCAATATATTATTGTTTTGGGTTTTTGGAGGGATTATTATTAGGCGTGTGGAGTAAGGAAACTTGCCCAAGGTTTTGCCCTGCCTGGAATTGAACTCGGGTCTCTCACTTGCAAAGCGAGTGCTCTAACCACTGAGTTACAGGACTCCACATTTTACCCATCAATCTTTGTTTCCATTCCACCTGGGTCAGATCCCTTTTCAACTCATTGAAATTAGCCCATTTCCAATTGAGTATCTTCATCTTTGATTGTTCCTTCTCCCTTTCTAATACTACTCTAAATCTAATGATATTGTGATCACTGCTATCCAGATGCTCTCCCACTGAAACCCACTCCACTTGCCCCATTTCATTCCCCAGGACTTAAATCCAGCATTGCTTCCTTCCTTGTTGGGTTGGAAACATACTGATTGAGAAATTTCTCTTGTACACATTTTAGGAATTTCCCCCCCTCCATGCTCTTTACACTGTTTTCTTCCCAATGCTATGTTTGGATGATTGAAGTTCCCATTATCACGACTCTATTGTTTCTACATTTTTCTGAAATTTACTTGGGAGATTTGCTCCTCTGTCTCCTTCCCACTATTTGATGGTCTATACACCCAACAGCGTAACAGCTCCTCTTCTGCTCCTTAACTCTAATCCAGTAATCCAGAGATTACCACATTTGAGGTCCTCATCTTTAGTCTTCCTCCTAGTGCCTCAAACTCTGCCTATAAAATCTCTACCCTTTTCTTTCCTACGTTGTTGGTTCCAATATGGACCACAACTTCTGGCAGTTCCCCTTTCCCCCACAGAATGTTCTGCACCTGTTCCGTGACATCCTCCACCCTGACACCAGGGAAGCACCACACCATTCCAGACTCACGTCTTTGGTTGCAGAAACACCTGTTTATCCCCAATTGTTGAATCCTCAATGACAATAGCATCGCTATACTTCCCTGTAGCCCCTGTGGAGTCGTTTACCCCATTGTGGCATTGATTTCCTAAAATTGCTCTTCTCCTGTTGTCTATTACAAGAGAACCATCCTGGAGTTCCCACATGGCACACAATGTGCATGCAACAGGTCTTTGTTGTTCTGCCATATTCCTAGAATATATATAAGCACCTCCTTCCACTCTGCACAGAATTTGCAATCTCACCAAATTCCTTCATCAAGTCTCACTGTTCCCACTTCCTCCATTCACAACTCACTACATTGAGGTCTGTGCTTGAGTGAGGCTCCCACAAGCCTCCATTTTAAATACCCCTGTATCACACAGAACCAGTTTCAACTGGTCAGCTAACAATTAACTATCAACTGCCTTGTTGTTAAGTTAAATGTTTTAATTCCCATTTGTAAACAAGGAATTCCCACTCTCACCAAATTCCTTCATCAAGTCACACTCTGTTCTCACTTCACTCGGTTCATAGCTCATTCCGTTAGGCTCTCTACTCCTCTCTGAAGGCCAGTTTTCTCTCCTATAATATAATGGTCAGAACGGTGTTCAGTACGGTAGGTGGGGCTGGACCACAGCTTTGTACAACTTTAGTAAAAATTATTTTGAAAGGGAGAGAAAAAAATCAAATGCAGATGTATACTCAATTCAAGTCGTTGTTCACAAAAAAAACTGCCAACCAATTGATGATAGTGTCAAGAGTCAAGGATTGGCTGAGTGTTGAGACTAGAAATGGATAGAGCTTTCCAGCAGCAGCGGTCTGACCAAATCCAGCATGTCCAGCTTAGGATCCAGAGACTTTCCCAGACTCTCCACAACCATGAGAGTGATAATGATGACGGCAGCATTACTCTCCATCTTAACCTAGATTTGGAGAAGTCAAAACAGACAATCAGTGATAGCAACAGCAACAACTCAACCAAATTTGGGCAACTCAATTCTGTACTGTACCTTGTGGGTCTTCAGCAAATGCAAGACTTGAGCCAAGAAATCTCCTACCTGCACCTGAACAGAGAGGAAACAAGAAAGAACGCCAGCTACAGCAGAGAATAGGCCTGACAATGCAGATTGCACCAATAGAACATTGAGCCATTCCTCTACAGTGGTCTTGGAGGTCTAATACTCGAGTCAGACAGGTTCGCAGTAATAATACCACATTATTGTTGGAAAGGCCAGCCTAATTTTGAAGCCAAAGCCCTGATGGGGTAAGGTGGTCTTTGATGGACAGGCAGTGGGAATATTGCCACTGTTTATAGTGGTAAGCTGTTTAATTTTAGCTGGTTAAGCTCCAGATCTACTCCAGTGCACACTCTTGGGTCTCGGCAACCTGCGGCCAAACTCTCCAAAAGTAGGGAGCCCTTCCCTCTGGCGAGAGAGCATGCACTCCATTAGAATTGGAAACTCTTTAAGCCTGGTGTAGGTTTCCATCCTAGTCAGATTACTGTCCTACCAGAAAAACAGCCCTGATATTGCAACACTATCAGCTCTGATTCTGACAACTCCAGCTTTCTATCACTGAGCTCATATGCTAATCCTGTGAATTCAGGAGCTACTTGAATGTGCTGCTGGAAGCCTGTAATTATCTAATTGTCTGTTAGGCATCAAGTCCTGGATGAGAGCCAACTTCCTTCAGCTGAATGTTGGCAAGACAGAGGCCCTCTTACTTCGCTTCCATCAGTGCCTGCTCACCTCAGACACTGACATGGTTGCATTCTACACTTCACTGAACCAATACAGAACCTTGGTGTCCTCTTCAACCCTCAGCTATCCTTCAAACCCTACATTCGTGCCATGACCCCTTCCGTCTTCCCCCACCTCCGTAACATTGCCTGCCTCCGCCACTGCCTCTCACCACAGGCCGCCGAGACACTGATCCAGTCTTTCATCACGTCTTGGTTTGACTACACCAACTGCCTGCTCGCTGGACTTCCCAACTCTTCCCTCCACAAGCTGTAGATTATTAAAAACTCTGCTGCTCGTGTCCCTTCCCACACCAGGCTCCGCAAACCATCATCCCCGATCTTGCCAACTTCAGACTCCCCATCTCTCAAAGAAGTGAATACAAACCCTTGTTCCCACCTTCAATGACTTCCACAGACTTGCTCCCTCTTACCTCTCCGACCTACTAACTCCATATCAGCTTGTCCGTTCCCTCCCCTCGGTGGACACTGGCCTGCTTCAGGTCCCCCACACTTCTCTCCCTACCATTGGTGGTTGGGCATTCAGCATCTCTGCCCCCACACTCTGGAACTCTATCCTGCAATCTCTCCGCCTCACCCACTCTCCTTCAAGTCCTGTCTAAAGACCTTGCTCTTCAACCGTGCCTTTGGCCATCCTGCCACCCCCACCCCATCTGCCCTCCTCCCTATCAGACCCCAACTCCCTGTTGTTGTTGTAGTACCTTTCCAAGTGATATAGCACTCTTCCTGGTCTCCATGACCAGTTGCACCATTTCAGATTTCAAATGCTGCGTATTCCAGCCTTCACTGGCCCTGGCGTGAGCGAGAAATAGCTCTGCGATCCACTCCTCCTAAACACAAAAACAGGAACTAAAAATCAAAGCCAGGTAATTGAATAGCAACCTCGTCCTTCCAGCTTACATCATGAAGGGCCTAAAGTGCCAGCCCAGTGTCAGCTCCCCACACCATGTGCCAAAGTGCAAGTCAGTGCACTTCCTGACGTGCTGATTATCTCATTGCAGACTGGTCAAAAGCTGATTGGTGAAAGCCAAACCTCAGCCTGGCGGGCAGCAGGGTTGAGCACACTGAGCAAGATAGTCTCGAGTCAAGGAGCCAAACTCCTGTTCTCCCAGTGTCCACTGAGTGTCATTACTGCAGACAACTTCAGTGGGCACCCTCCTTGGTTGTGAAGTGTGGAACAGTGGGTAGCATGTGACCCCTCAATAAACTAAAATGATTCTGACCTGCGTCTCTATGATAGCGTTGAAGGTGGCCTTGATATTGTCTGGAGGAGGAGGCTGTAGCTGGGCCACAATGTCTGCACCTAGAAACACAAGCTTGAATGGGCAGCAGGAGGGCTGCACGTTAACGACAAGTGTGTCACACATGTCCACAAGGGATGTTTTTTCCTCGCAACGCAGGTCAAGTTGACCAGCCCCTTGAACCCGGAGCTTTCCCAGGTGAAGGTCTCCATGAACAAAGTTGTCCACTAAAATCTACAGAGACCGAGAGAATGGCACATCAGCAAGGCTGTTCCACAACTCCAAATTCAGAGGAACTCCCTTCCTCCCCTTCCTCCCCCAACCCACTCTCTCCCCCCTTCCTCCCCCAACCCACTCTCCCCCCACCCACTCTCCCCCCCTCCCTCCCCCTTCTCTCCCTCCCCCCCCCCTTCCTCCCCCCCCACTCTCTCCCCCCTTCCTCCCCCCACCCCCACTCTCTCCCCCTTCCCCCCCACCCCCACTCTCTCCCCTTCACTCCATTCTCAGGCTCTTTGTCATTTACCATTTTCAACAGCATCTTCACTCCCATCCTTGCCAGCCATTGCTTGAGCCCATTGTGCTCATGCTCCTTCAAATACTGAGAGATTGGTTCACTATCCTACAAACAAGGGACAGAGCTGTAGTTAGTGATGACAAAGTTACCTTCCCCTCCTTGCATGGTGGTAGTGAAGGAGATTGAAGCCCCTTTATTTTTAGTACACCAAGGATTCTCCAGGTCCACCACTCTCTTGCCACTTAGTTTCATTATTTGCTGACCTCATGGGTCATGATGACTGAACACTTACAAAACTGGGATCTTACTAGAGATCAGATGATTGTTAAAGATAGTTTTTTTTGATGAAGTAACGGAGAGGGTGGATGAAGGTAGTGCAGTTGATGGAGTCTATATGGATTTTCAAGAGGCGTTTGATAAAGTGCCACATAAGAGACTTGTAAGCAAAATAGAAGCCCATGGTATTGAAGGGACAGTGGCAGCATGGATACAGAACTGGCTGGGAGACAGAAAGCAGAGAATGGTGTTGAACAGTTAGATTTCTGACTGGAGGGAAGTTTACAATAGTATCACCCAGGGGTCGGTATTGGGACCACTGCTCTTTTTGATCTCTATATAAATGACCTGGACTTGGGTATAGGGAGTGCAATTTCTAAGTTTGCAGATGATACTAAGCTAGGAAAAGTAGTAAACAGTGAGGAGGATAGTAGCAGACTGCAAGAGGACATAGATAGACTGGTAAGATGGGCAGACACGTGGCAGATGAAGTTTAATGTGGAGAAATGCAAAGTGATGCATTTTGGGAGGAAGAATGAGGAGGCAATATAAGCTGATGGTACAATCATAAAGGGGGTGAAGGAACAGAGAGACTTGGGGGGGTCATGTAAGTAAATCTTTGAAGGTGGCATACTAGGGTTTATAAATAGTCAGGAAGTTATGATGAACCTTTATAAAAAAACTGGTTAGGCTCAGCTAGAGTACTGGGTCCAGTTCTGGGCACCGCACTTTAGGAAGGATATCAGAGCATTGGAGAGGGTGCAATGGATATTACCAGGATTGTACCAGGAATGAGAGACTTCAGTTATCAGGAGAGGCTGGAGAAGCTAGGATTATTGTCCTTGGAGCAGAGAAGGTTAAGAGGAGACTTAATAGAAGTTTTCAAAATTATGAGGGGATTTGATAGGATGAACAAGGAGAAACTATTTCCACTGATGGGTGGTTCGTTAACCCTAGGGCTCCGATTTAAAATAGTTAGAAACAGAGGGGAAGTGAAGAAAAATGTTTTTGCACATTGAGTTGTTCGGATCTGGAATGCTTTGCCTGAAAGGGTGGTGGAAGCCGATTCTATAACAACTTTTGAGAAGTAGATAATTATTTGGGGAGGACAAGTTTGCAGGGCTATGGGGAGAGAGCAGCGGAGTGGGATTGATTTGGATAGCTCTCTTCAAAGAGCCGGCACAGACACGATGGGCCGAATGGCCTCCTTCTGTGCTGTATAATTGTATGATTCTACATTACCTCCTGCTGTCCTGTAAAATTTAAAACAAATAATTGAAAATGAAAAATATTAAGCGCATGAAAAAAAATGCAAGGGAGGAGGGAACTACATGGATAGCTCTTTTAGAGTACGAGCACAGGCACAATAGTCCCAATCACTTACCTGTGGTGCAAAATTCAGCACTAATTTTATATCGAAGATAAAAATGCCACATACTGAAAAATCACAACAGTTAAACTAAACCTTTCTTTAATCAGCAGTTAGCGTTAACCTGCTCTTGACTACTGTTAAAATTAAATTAAAAATTAAATCCTTGCATTTGATATAGCGCTTTTCACGTCGGCAAGACGTCCCAAAGCGCTTCACAGAACACACTGTAAAGTGAATTGACTGTATATTTGTGGGCGAACGTGGCAGCCAATTGCGCACAGCAGTGTCCCACAAACAGTCGTAGATTGAAAATGACCAATTTGTTATTGTTTTTTGTTTTGGAGGGATTATTATTAGGCGTGTGGAGTAAGGAAACTGCCCAAGGTTTCGCCCTGACCTGCCTGGAACTGAACCCAGGTCTCTCACTCGCAAAGCGAGTGCTCTAATCACTGAGCTACAGGACTCCAAGTATAACAAGAATCTATGAATGTACAGGACAAGACTTTTGTGGCTGGGCCCTCATTACTTGGTACTTGCTGTGGTTGGCATTCACTCTGAGTGTAAGGAAGTGGCTTCTGGTGACAGTCCGAGGCTGATGGGGATTTGCTTCACGTATATAAATTCAGTGCTATTCAGTCGGTGTGCACAAGCTGCTACAATGATCCACCCACACAATAATAAGCTCAAAATTAAGATAGATTCACTTAATGTGATAGCACTTGGTGTGATACCATACTTTCTGGGGCTCAAGGCCCCCCATGACAAGGCTACCTCGCACCACTTCCTCATCTCCTTCTCCTCTCACATCCCTCTCTCTTCCACCAAGCCCTCAACCGTACTTTACCGCCCGTGGAAAAGGCTACCCCCTGAGACCCTCACAAAGGTCCTCACATCCTCAAATATCCTATCGCTCTGGCCTTCCACCCGCAGAGATCCTGAAGCCTCCATCCAGCTCCTCCATGATCTCCTCTCCTCCACCTTCAACTCCCTTGTCCCCATAAAATCCAGGACCATCTCCAAACCCACCCGATCCCCCTGGTATAACAATCATTTCCGCTCCCTAAAAACCCAAACCCGGCTGCTCAAGCGCAGATGGCAGAAAACTGGCCTGACAGTTCGTCACCAACTGTGGCTCGAGCATCTCCACAGCTGCCGCCGTTCTTTAACGTGCATGAAAACGATCTTCTACTCCAACATCATCTTGGAGGCAAAACACAATCCCAAAGTCCTTTTTTCCCCCCACCACCCACTACCTCCTCCGTGTGTCCCCTCAGGCCTCCTCAATCTTCACATCCAATGCCAAGTGCGAGGAGGTCATGGACTTCCTTTCATTCAAAATACATAACTTCCGCCAGACAGCCTCATCCTCCTGCCTCTTGTCCCCCACCACCACACTCCCTCCGTTCCCTTCACCCTCATCAGCTCCTACCATGACCTCCATCCCCATCTCTCCCTCCTCCCTCTCACCCACCATCACCTCAATGAAACCTGCTGCCTCGACACCCTCCCACCAATTTTCTGGTCACCCAGCTCCCACTCTTCTGCCCACTACTGGCTGATGTCATCAACCAGTCCCTCTCCTCTGGATCAGTCCCTGCCCCCCTCAAGTCTACTGTCATCACCCCACTCCTCAAAAAACCTTCCCTGGATCTCTCAAACCCCAGCCACTACCACCCTATTTCAAACCTGCCCTTCCTCGCAAAAGTCCTAGAACGCGTTGTTGCCAATCAACTCCGCTCACACCTCTCCTCCCACTTCGCACCCCTCCCTCCGGTTTCCGCCAGGTCCACAGTACAGAGACTGCCTTGTGAAAGTCACAAACAACATCCTCTATCTATGACCAGGGCTCCCTCTGCCTCCTTGTCCTCCTGGACCTCTCCGCTGCTTTCAACACAGTCGATCATGTCATCCTCCTCCACCGCCTTTCCTCCGTCATCCACCTCAGTGGGACTGCATTCGCCTGGTTCGAGTCCTACCTCCCAAACCGCCAGCAGCGCATCTGCACAAACGGCTTTTCCTCCCGCTCTCACCCGGTTACCTGTGGGGTAGCCCAAGAATCCATCCTTGGTCCCCTCCTCTTTCTGATCTACATTAATGTCTAAAATCACACGGTCCTCACCTCCTCCACCTACCCGACCTCCCACTAAAACTCTCCAAACCTGTATGTAACCTAGGCGTCAGGTTTGACCCCCAATTATACATCCTTCCCCACATCCGGTCCCTCACCAGCACCGCCTTCTTCCACCTCCGATGCATCGCCAGTCTCTGCCAATACCTCATTCCAAAAGCCGTTGAAACCTTGGTCCATGCCTTTGTCACCTCTCGGCTGGACTATTCAAATGCCCTCCTCGCCGGTCTCCCCTCCACTACCATCCATAAAATCCAGATCATTCAAAACTCTGCCGCCCGCATTCCTACCCGCACCAAACTCCCGATTACCCCAGTCCTTGCCAGACTGCACTGGCTGCCTGTCCCAGAGAAGATCGATTTTAAGATCTTCACCCTTGTCTTCAAATCCCTCCACTCCTCTGCACCCCCCTACCTCTCTGACCTCCTCTCTCCACACAACAGTGCCCGTTGCCTTCGCTCCACCGGGTCTGGCCTCCTCCTTGTCCCCCGAATTCTCCGCTCCTCTCTCGGCGGCCGCGCCTTCAGCCACTATGCCCCGAGACTATGGCACTCCCTTCCCCACTCCCTTCGCCTCGCCCCCTCTCTTCCTATTTTCAGGTCTCGGCTGAAGACCTTTCTCTTCAACCACGCCTTTGGTCACCTTCTTCCCCCTCCCCATGGCTCGGCCCTGGGATCCGTTACTGTGAAGCACTCTGAGACGCCGTCCGGCGTGGAAAGCGCTATACAAATCCAAGTTGTTGTTGTAAGAATCCTGACTGAGGATCTCAACTCAGACTGCACGGGCTTTCTGAGGGCAGCGAGCATGGCCACTCGGAGGGCACAAGCCCTCTTGGCTCCAGCTCAGAATGGCATTATTCCACAGACACTAACTGGAATTGTACAACCTGACAACGTGCTTGGAGCCTGTTCCGTATCGGATCAACTGTACTGCAAGTTACTGTATGCAGTACTGTTACTGTAGAGCCTGCCTTTCAGCTGAGTGCTGGTCATAAGGATTCTTGGGGAGATCAGAGCTCACCAAATCCTGCCTTCTCTGGGGGTACTCATCGGGGGATTATCCAAAGGACCAGCTCCGTCCTCTGCAGAATGAGTTCCTCTACCTTGTGCCCAAGCATCTCCAAGTTACCCATCAGCAACAACAACAAAATTACATTTGTATAGCGCCTTTCATGTCGGGAGGATTTTCCAAGGCACTGGACAATCAGTGTTTCGGACCTGAGCTGGAGGTCGAGATCAGGGAGGGTGGGGGGCAAAGAGGGTGACTGAAGGCACGGTCAAAGAAGAGTGTTTTGAATTGGGTCTTGAAGGAGGCAAGGGAGGGGGCGAGGCAGAGGGACTGCGGGTTCCTGAGGATGGGGGCAGAGTGGCTGAAGGCCATCAGGATCTTGAACTATATCCTCTGTGTGATGGGAAAACAGTGGAGTCGGGCGAGAACAGGGGTGATAGGGTCATGGAGCCTGGTGCAGGAGAGGACACGGGCTGCAGAGTTCTGGATGATCTGCAGCCTACGGAGGGAGGAGTTGGGGAGGCCGACAAGCAGGGAGTTTGCGTAGTCGAGCCTGGATGTTATGAATATGTGTATGAGGGTCTTCGTGGCCTGCAGAGTGAGACAATGGCAGAGCCGAACAATGTTGCAGAGGTGGGGAAAGGCGGAACAGGTCATGGCACGGATGTGGATTATGAAGGACAGTTGAGGGTCGAACAAGATGCTGCGGTTCGGTATTGGTTCCGTGAGATGTAGAGTGCATCCATTGAAGGAGATACTGTCAGTGCCCGAGGTATGGAGGCGCTGTTGGGAGCTAAGCAGGAGGGCCTCGGTCTTGTTGACATTCAACTGCAGGAAGTTAGCTCTCATCCAGGACTTGATGTCTGTTACTCAGCACCACAAAAGGCTGCCCTGAAATACTTTGAACTCGAACCATGACCCCATAGGAGCCTGGCTTGGCCTTGCTGGTACATAATTCCCCATGGTTGACAGCGTTGAGGAGGTAGCCTTTCTCATCTGCCCCTTGTGCTGTGGGGGCTTCTGTAGCCCAACAAGGCTTCTGTAGCCTTAGCACTCACTGCTGCCCCCAATGTGTCTCGCAGCTCCATGGCCCTCCTGAAACCATCTCCCAAAGCGACAGCAGATACCAGTTTGGGAACCAATTTGGCACTTTCATCCCAGTATCGCACCAATCTTACAATGGAAATTTTACTGAACACATGATGTACAGAAAATATGTACCTCAAAAGTTTCAACCAGAACCCTTTTCGTCACAAATGGTCTGAGAGGCATCGGAAACCTGACACTTTCCACATCCTTAAAATTTTCTCGGAAGCGTTCCAAGTTCTCTGCCTCATATCGTAAGTCAATCTGTAGGACAACAGCAAACAGGAAACATCAGTCGAGATCTTATCTCAGGGATATGCTGAGAGAGCCTACTACTCACTGTTCATTCCAATCATTTCAAAATGAGATGTAGTAGCTAAGGATGTGACAAAGAGCTCTGTTGGGTCACTGTGTAAATTCACTCACTGGCATGGTACTAAACTAAATCATGCAAAAGGGTCCCAGCTGAGTTTTTGATCTCAGTTTGGGCTGATGTTGGCACCGCAACCAGCTTCAGTGCCACTTGTTGATGAGGAAAACAAGATCAGTATTCCTATTGCTGATTCCTTCTGGAAGGTGCATATGTGGATGAGAATAGCTTTGATTTGTCTTTCGATTATTCTGCCAGCACTCATCGTCAAGCCTCATGTGAAGAAAGGCTTCTTGAATGAGGAAGCCTCGAGTCCTACATAAACAGTTATTGCCTTCAAAAAGAGAAGAAATATTGGGGGGAAGGAAAGCTATATTTTTAAAACTTTATTTTGCCTCAGTGCATTGGAAGACAGCTGCTGCCAGCCCACCATGGGGCTTGGGTGAGGGTGACAGAGCAATTCCAACAGTCAGGCACTACTGATGGATATTCAGTGACACCAACTGCTTGGACAGGGCAAAATCCAGTCGAGTAACACATTGGAAATAAGGCTGTAATTAACACTGTTAATTATGATTATATTGTAAGTAACACTTGGAAAAAATAGGCAGCTCAGCCAGCCTTTGACAAGGATATGCAAAGGTTAGTGGAAATCTGGAACCTAAGCTCAGGGCATGCTGATGTTTGTGAGGTATGGGAAACCAGCACAGTTGGATGCCTCATCCTTTCCGCAACAAATACAGTGACATTACAAGATCTCTAAAGTAAGAGTGGACGCAATCTCAACTGAGAACACTTACTTTCTCACCTGTCTTCTCATGAGGATTTCAAACTCTTCGATCACCTCAGGCAGTCGCAACCACTTCAGCTTTGGCAGGAGGCTGAGGAGCCAGCTCCCGGCTTTCATTATTATGAGATCCAGAGCGACCTGATGCTCTATCCCAGGGTGCAGCACCTACAAAAATACAATGTCTGTATCTGAGCTGGGAGTGCTGGAAAGCTTGGGACCTTTTACTGATTTTCACCAATACCCCTTTTTTAGTTATTTTTTCAAATATTTTCTTAGAAAGTTCTCCACCTTTTTTGGATGTGTGTGCATCACTGTTCTGCCAATTTGACCTATAAACCCTGCAATATCGCACACGTGACTTCAGCCAGCAATGTGCAAGTGAAGCAGCTGTGTGCAACTCTACTATGAAAATGCTGTTGTGTTCTCTGATTATCTTTAACCTGAACAGAATATGCAAATCAGTATCAGATTTCTCACCTTTTTCTAGCTTCCTGTCTGAATTCACCCAATTTTTGGGGTCAAATTTATTTTGCTGGATGTGATTTATGTTTAGAATATAGCTCAATAAATACCTGAGTTTTTTATCTATATGGAAAAAAAATTACTTTAATGGACCTTATGCACAATGCAAAGGGAGCTGTGGTATCTCGTAGCATAGTGGTTAGCAGGTCTACCTCGCAAGCGAGGGAATCTGGGTTTGATTCCCAGGCGGGGCGAAATCTTAGGCAAGTTTCCTTACTCCGCAATCCTCTATGTAACTTGCAGTAAGTAGGAACCCGGTTGTTAATTAATTGGCTGATTACTTCTTGGGGTGGGGGGTAATAATCCCTCAAAAAAAACTATTTGGTCACTCAATACAAGACTCTTTTTGGGACACTACTCTCTGCTGTATTTCACCCACACAACACAGTCAATTCACTTTACAATATATTCTGTGAAGTGCTTTGAGAAATCTCAATGTCATCAAATGCGTGGATTATTATTACTCTGTGTCTCACCTATGGCATCAATACTTTACCAGAAATCCTGGATGTTGATTGTGGACAGTAACTATTAAATGATTCCTTCCTCCAGCACTGACATACCCTCCCCACAAAACAGGACAACTGCTTCACTCCCCCTACATATGAAAACAAGTGTTGCCCCCCACCCACCCTGTCAGAAAAGTCTGTTCTTAATGTTCTTATTTTCCCAAAATAACTTTTCTGGTGGTGGTGGTTAGGGGGAAAAGAGAAGCAGATTACCTTTATCGCCACTGGAATGCAATGGAGTTGCTTGCCTGGACCATTATATTCTTCCACAGGTTGAAGCCTATGGGGGCCATTAAAACCCTCCTTATGACTTTGGTGTAGAAAAGTCTCCCGTCTGTCACCAAAGAGGTGTTGAAATATCCCTTTAAGTCTGAAGATCTCCCAGGCTTCAAACAGATCCTCCTTTTCAAAGTCCTCTACTAGTTTCTGAAATTCAAGGTTATTAATATTTCTTGGATCAGTGTAAGCTCTGTAAACTTGGGTGAGGCAGCCCAAACCCATGGGATCTTTACTTTCCATCTTAAATATTTCTTTCCAGCTGGCTCCGAAAGCACTTCTGAAGCAGTGCTTGGTGTAGTCCCAGGTGTGTGGAATAACATGGACATGGAGTTTAGAGAACATGTCACAAATCTGTGTTGAGAAGAGGTCCTGTCTGGTGCTGAACCATTGCCCTAGCTTTATGAAAGTTGGCCCCGAAGTCTCTGTGGCCTTCAGCAGCTGGTCTCTCCAGATCGCCGCAAAACCAGTTGACATGAAACAAATTGGATAGAGCACTAACAGAGGTCCAAACCGTAGCATAAGTATCAAGGCTCGGAGTCCCAAGTGGACAGCAAAACAAAGTTTCCAGAGCAGATAATTCAAATAGAGGTGATCGGCTCTACACTTGGAGTATGGTAGTGGTCTTGTATCAGTGAGTGTTGTCTTCTTCTGACAGCTTGCTACATGCAGTGAGGCTTCCCTGAATCCCAAGCAAATAAAAGCTAATTTGGGTAAGACCTTTAACCTAAGGGTTCCTTTCAGCGTGGAGGTACCAAATCTCAATACAGGTGACCTAAAAAGCAAAGGCCTAAATGCTGAAAAACAAATCCTACCATTCAAGAGAAAGGCAGACATCTTTGATTGTGTTGAACTGCTCTGGACAGAGGTATACTTGGTGTAATTAAATGCCCTATTCATCCATTCAGAACATGTCAACAACAACTTACATTTATATAGTATCCTTCACGCAGGGTAGAGTTTCAGAGTGCTTAATGTGCCATCAAACAAAAGCTAATGCAGAGGATCCTGACTCCATTTTTGGTAGAAATTAGTGAGAAGCTGCTGTCCTCCTGCAGCATCATACAGAGTGTCGTCATTCAGCTGCGCTCCTCACCTGGAGATCAATCACTGGTCTATCATTTCCATTCACACGTCGATTATAAGCACAGCCTCAGCGAGTTCTCTCTCCCCAAGTCGGTGCTTGTGCCATTGCGGCTGCGGCTGCTGCCCGGTCTCTGTACCGTCTCCTGGATTCTCACGAGATGCTCAGTCACTGCCTGTGCATTGCTCCCGGCGGCTCACGAGCTGCTGATCATTCCGGGTGTATGACAACCGACAACTCAGGATCTGCCACCCCATCCCCTGCTCTCCCCACCCACTGCCGGCGCCCACACTGGTCACTCATCTCTCATTGGTCACTCATCTCTCATTGGTCACTGGTCACTGATCGCTCATTGGTCACTGGTCACTGATCTCTCATTGGTCACTGGTCACTGATCTCTCATTGGTCACTGATCTCTGATCTCTGATTGGTCAGTGATTGCTCTCACGCCGGGAGGTGGGTGGCCTCCCGGGGAGGACTCTGTTGCTGATTGGTTGCAGGTGATGAGGCAGAACACAAATAAATGAAGTCTGAACAGCTGCAAACCCTTAGTATTGTGGCGAGAACCATAGTTCTCATCCTGAATTGGTCAGAGAGGGACCCACTCTTCCTCTTTCTCAGCTCTTGGGAGGAGTGGATAGAGGGATTTCTCTGCTTTTCCCAGAAACAGTTGTCGGAGTTGGGATAGTGACTGTGTCTGCAATCCCTGAGAGGAAGGGAATTGTTGTCAATTTAGGGATTTGGTCCCTAGATCGAGCGGTTTAAATATACATCTTATATAAAAGAGGAGGGTTGGTTTAAAGAAAAATTCCAGTACAGTGGTATCAATATCAATGCAATTTTAAAATCTAATGGACGGGCAGCCAAACACCAGCCCACGGTGACATCCCCGCTCTAGGAAACCCAACTGCCCGAAACTCTCTGCGAGAAAGAAAGCTTTCTCCTCCAAAATGCTGGAGAGACGGGGACCTTCCCTCCTGGAACTGTGGAGGGAGGGTCACTTCTCCCCCTACCACATCAAATATGGAGAGAGGAACACCTCACCACTTCCCTTGGAACTGAGGGGAGAAGTCCAAACTCTCTCCTCCTTCTCCCCAAACCCCACCTCCCCCAACTGAGGAGTGCACCCGATCCCCCAGACCTGTGGAGTGAGTTGCTTATCCAATCCTTTTCCAAAAGTATGGCGATGGCACCCCCCACCCCCACCCCCGGGGACTAGTGGGAGAGGACCACAAACCCTGGGAATTGGAGAGAGAAGGATCCTCCTCCCCCAGCCCCGAACTGGAGAGAGACACACACACACACACACACAGGGGGGGGGGAAGAGGAGACACACACACACACACACGGGGGGAGGAGACACACACACACACACACGGGGGGGGAGGAGACACACACACACACACACAGGGGGGGAGGAGACACACACACACACACACACAGGGGGGGGGGAGGAGACACACACACACACACACAGGGGGGGAGGGGAGGAGACACACACACACACCACGGGGGGAGGAGACACACACACACACAGGGGGGGGGGAGGAGACACACACACACGGGGGGAGGAGACACACACACACACACACACAGGGGGGGGGGAGGAGACACACACACACACACACAGGGGGGAGGAGACACACACACACACACACAGTGGGGGAGGAGACACACACACGGGGGGGGGAGGAGACACACACACACACACGGGGGGAGGAGACACACACACACACACAGTGGGGGAGGAGACACACACACGGGGGGGGAGGAGACACACACACACACACACAGGGGGGGAGGGGAGGAGACACACACACACACACGGGGGGGGAGGAGACACACACACACACGGGGGGAGGAGACACACACACACACACACGGGGGGAGTGGTGGGTGACCGAAAGACACACACAAAGACAACGGGGCCTCGGGGCAGAGAGAGCTACACATAGTGAGAGAGAGAGAGAGAGAGAGAGAGAGCGGTGTGTGGGAGTCGGGGATAGATTGAGGACAACGGCGGATTGTATTTATATAGAGAGCCTTTGACATCTGGAAGACGTCCCCAGACGCTGGAAATTGACCCGGAAAATGGAAAGAGTGAGAAAGAGGCAGAAAACCAGAAAGACAGCGTGAGAACCGGGAGCCCAACCGCACAGATACCCCGAGCGGGTGACCCGCCCGCAGAGAGCAGTGCGAGAGAGCAGCGGAACAAGTCAAATCGAGTGCAAAGGAGACATCCATGGATCAGGTCAGTCAGCAGCTGTCTGTGCAATTCATGAAATCAGAGCAGCCTTTCAAAGTCCGTTGCTATGGTGTTCAGCAGTTCAGATATATTAATTGTACAGCAGATTGTTGTATTTAATTTCGCCCACAATATACAGTCAGTTCGCTTTACAGTCTATTCCGTGAAGCGCTTTGAGACGCCGAGAAGACGTGAAAAGCGCGATATCAAATGCGAGGATCATTCTTATTATGACTGCGTGATTTTAATTAAACGCAAGACATTCAACTTTTTGCGAGGTTGTAACTTGGATCATTTGAAAAGGAAAGGAAAGGAAAGGCGGGAAGGGAGCAGCTGTTTTCTGAAGCATTATGAAGGGTTGTCTCTGTTAAGATTGGTTGCCTTTCTGAATCGGTTGAAACAGGTGCAGACTGCATCGTGGAGTCCTGTGGCTCAGTGGTTAGAGCACTCGCTTTGCAAGTGAGAGACCTGAGTTCAATTCCAGGCAGAGGGCGAAACCTTGGGCAAGTTTCCTTACTCCACACAGAGCCTAATAATAATCCCTCCAAAACCCCAAACAATAATAAATTGGTCATTTTCAATCTACGACTGTTTGTGGGACATTGCTGTGCGCAATTGGCTGCCGCGTTCGCCCACAAATATACAGTCAATTCACTTTACAGTGTGTTCTGTGAAGCGCTTTGGGACGTCCTCCCGACGTGAAAAGCGCTATATCAAATGCAAGGATTATTATCGTGTGCGTAATGAACATCACCGACCTTGTGTCTGGCTGCAAGTAAGGTCTTATCCGTGCACTTCGTGCACCTATTTCATATCCAGGAGAGATGGTAAGGAACAGCAAAGATTTGCACTGTTGCGTCAGATGCAGGAATCAGTATTTAACAATAACAATCCCTGTATTTGATACAGCGCTTTTCGCGTCGGGAGGACGTCCTAAAGCGCTCCGTTTCAGATAAATCCCCTTCTGGAGAGGGAAGACTTTTCCTGGAAACTAAGTCCTTGCCGGGAAGAGCAAGACCTTCCTTTGAATTATCTCCTCGGATGAGACAAATGAATTGCTTCCTCAGCACAATATGTTTTTACATTTTTCATATATAAATAAAACTCCCCCATAGGGGGAGTTTTATTTATATATGAAAAATGTAAAAACATATTGTGCTGCAAAGCTCAATGGAAAGAATCCCCCCCAGTTCTGAGGGTCGTTGCCCCATTAACCGCACTGCCTGCAGCTGGAGGTCCCTATGGGGGAGTTTTATTTATATATGAAAAATGTAAAAGCATATTGTGCTGCAAAGCTCAATGGAAAGAATCCCCCCCTCAGTTCTGAGGGTCGTTGCCCCATTAACCGCACTGCCCGCAGCTGGAGGTCGCTCGCGTTTATGGAGAGAGTCCGGCAGAGTTGGAGCCGGGACAGACAGGGGTTGCCATGGCGATGGGCTGCTGGGAGGCAGCTGGTGATCAGCTCAGTGGAAAGAAGTCGAGGAGGAGGAGGAGGAGGAGGTCAGGACAGGAGGTGTGGGAATCCAGAGCGGGCGGTCCACCGCTGACGTCAGAGGAGGAGAGAGAGAGAGAGAGAGAGAAGTTGAGGAGACGCTGAGAAGAGAGTTGGAGCAACTCGAGTTGTGGGAGAGACCCCGAGTCAGACCCCCGGCGGCTCTTCGGGAGGAAAATTCAGACCAAATGCTGCAGAATTGGGCTTCAGACCGGAAACCCGAAGCCGTCCTCCAGAGAGGTCCACCGGCAAAGGCAGTGGGCGAGGAAGGGTCGCTGATCGCGGGCTTTGTTCCTCCCATTCCCCAACTCTGGAAGGTAACTCAATGACTCAGACACTGGCAGAGGGGTGGGTCGGTGGGTGGGTGGGTGGGTGGCCGACGAGGGGGGAGGTGTGAGAGGACAGCAATGCTCGGGTGTTTTCATCTTACATTTCGATTCAAGCCCTGTTGGGGGGTCCACTGTTGGATGCAGCCATTATTGGAGCAACTTCAGGAGAATTTGTACACGGTGTGTTTGTGAGGCTGACTCGCTGTAGGGTACCACTCATCCTCAAGGCTGGTCTTTGAGGTTGGACCTCTCTCCTGTCTGGATGCTTGGATTTCTTGAGCTGTTCAGTCATCCATCCTCAACTTGTAAGATTCTGTATAGGTGCAAGTTGTTTTGTTGGTCACTGTTGAATCAACACAAAAGAATCCTTCCAGGCCTCCAGCGACAGAGCCACTACTTTTCCAGGGTCTCGCAGAGCACTGCTGGGACTCTTCCTCACAGAGCACCACAAGGCTCCTCGCTGATGGGCAGCACCATTTCTGCCCCCCCATGGGCTGCCATTGCCTCCCCAGACATTTTTGCGTACTGTTATGCTGGCTCGTTGCATCTGAAAGTATTGAACTTTCTCAATCCCACTTAAAATCTTATGTACCTCTAAAGCATCTCCTTTGAGGACTGAAGAGCCCCACATCGTTTAATTGTTTCTCGTAGCAAAATTGATGCATACATTCATTGATCCTTCAGCCCATTTGGTCTCATTCTTCCCATCCTACTACCTTCCCTGTGGAGTCCTGTAGCTTAATGGTTGGAGCACTCGACTCGCAAGCGAGAGGACCCAGGTTTGATTCCCGGGCAGGGCAAAATATTGGGCAAATTTCCTTACTCCAAACACCTCTGTTTACCCAGTGGTAAGTAGGAACCCAGTTGTTAGTCGATTGGCAGATCCCTTTTCTCGGGGATAATAATACCTTCAAAAAAAATGATAAGAATTTGGTCACTCAACCCACGATTGCTGGTGGGACACTGCTGTGCACAATTGGCTGCTGTGTTTCGCCTACAAAATATACAGTTAATTCACTTTACAGTATATTCCGTGAAGCGCTTTGAGCCACCTTGAAGACGTGATAAAGCACTATATCAAATGCAGGGATTATTATTATTCCCGTCACAGTATTAAGCTTATTTTTAATGAATCCAGTGTCCTGGCCCCAACCACCCTTACTGGCAATCTGTTTCAATCGTTAATTTCTCTCTTGGTAAAGAAGGACTCCTCTGAGTCTTCTTCTATTGAGACTGAAGAGGCCTAGGTTGTCTAATTGCTGCTCATAATCAGGGCCAATAGCAAATTGTGGACATATTTACCAAAAATTGCAGGGAATTTTGGCGAATTTTGTGGGAAGTTGATTGGTGCTATTGAGAGGTACATTTTACTGCCATCTACATTTTTACACTTTATTGATTAAAAGATAAATGGGAAGAAATAACACAGGCAATATTAGATGCAAAACAAATTCTTAATGCTTTCCTTAACAAACCTGGGTGACCTACTTCGGTGGGGGGGGGGGGGGAGAGAATTAGTCCTGACTGAGGGGATCCAAGAGGTTACTAAACTCCTGACTCTCGGAGCCTGCCACCGCACACATGGACACGCACACGGATATGCACACGCACAGGGACACGGACACACACGCACGCAGACACACACGCAGAGACAGACGCATGGAAATACACATGTGCGGGGACACACACGTGGAGACACACAGGCATGTGCAGGGAGAACACATATACGCTCTCGGCGGCACGCGCGCGAAGACCCATGTGCGCAGAGACGCGCGCAGAGCCACGCGGAGTCAGACACACACACAGAAATACACGCACGGAGACACGCATGGAGACTCACACGTGCGGAAAAACATGCACGTGGAGACACACAAACACCCGGAGACACACACACGTATGCAGAGATACACATGCTCGGAGACACGCATGCACGGAGACACATGCGCGTGGACACGCACGCGGAAACACACACACACACACACACACACAGGGACACACACACAAAGGGACACACACACACAGGGCCACACACACGCCCGGAGACACACATACATGCAAACACATACACACAACGAGAGAGATACACACGGATAAACACACACACACGAAGACACACACACACACACGGAGGCAAACACTCACACATATGCAGAGACACACGGACACACACGGATGAATACATACACACGGCGACACACACACAAGCAGACACACACATGCGGAGACACACACATGCAGACACACTCACACGGAGACACACCCTCAGACACATATGCGGAGATGTACACACGGAGACACACACACGTGGAGAAACACACACACACATGGAGACACACACAGACACACATACGACTAAAGACAGAGACACACACACAGGAAGACACGCACGGACACACACACACACGAGTGGATAAACACAGAGACACACACAGGGAGACATCCGCGAGGACGCACACACACACACACATGGATAAATGCACACACGCGGAGACACACACACACACGGATAAATACACACGCGCGGGGACACACACATGGAGAGACACACCCACACACGGAGACGCACCCACACACGGAGACGCACACACACATGTAGAGGCACACACCCACATGGGGAGGCACACAGCCACACGCGAAGATACACAAAACCACACGCGGAGATGCGCACGCGTGGCGGAGACACACACGTGTGGCGGAGACACATACATGTGGCGGAGACACACACGTGCTCGGAGATATGCGCGGGAAGGCACACACATCTGTGGTGACACACACACACGTGCAGACACACACATGCATGGAAACACATACACGCACGTGGAGATGCACACACACGGATAAACACGAAGACACGCACAGGGAGACATGCACACACATGGAGACACACACACGGAAACATGGACACACAAACACACGTGGACACCCACATGCGCATGAAGACACATGCGCGGAGCCACACATGTGCGGAGACACACACACGTGTGGAGACATACGTGCACGGAGACACACGTGCGCGGAGACACACACCCGTGTGGAGACATATGTGCGTGGAGACACATGTGCGTGGAGACATGTGGAGACATACGTGTGGAAACACATGCGCGGATACACAAACACGCGTGGAGACACTAACATGCGCTCGGAGACACACACGCGCTCGGGGACACACACAGGCGGACGGGCGGACAGAGATAGATCGATGGACAGAGAGAGACAGACGAATAGAGAGAGAGACGACAGAGAGAGAAGAAAAGTTATTTGCAGAAATGTAGTGCTGGCGGTTTGTAAGTTAGGATTCGAACCAAGTGAGTGCAATCCCACTGAGGTGGATGATGACAGACAGGAGGTGGAGGAGGATGGTGTGGAGAGGTCCAAGAGGACGAGGAGGCAGAGGGAGAACCTGGTCACAGATAGAGAGGATGTCGTTTGTACTGGACTGGAGGGGTTTGAGTAGGGTGTGGAGGGAGAGGTGTGCACGAAGTTGGTTGGCAACGTGTTCCAGAGCTTTGGCAAGGAAGGGCAGGTTTGAAATAGGGCGGTAGTGGCTGAGGTTGGAGGGATCGAGGGTAGGTTTTTTAAGGAGGGGAATGATAACCACAGTTTTGAGGGGGAGTGGACTGATCCTGAGGAGAGAGACAGGTTAATAGTGGCTGCCAGCAGTGGGCAGAGGAGGGGGAGCTGGGTGATCAGCAGTGGGGTGGGGAGGGGAGGTCGAGGCAGTAGGTGGTGGGTTTCATTGTGGTGATGGTGGATGAGGAAGGAAGGAGAGATGGGGACAAATGAATGTAGGATGGGGGCCGTGGTAGGAGCTGAGGGCAGGGTGGGTGAGAGAGACGGAATGGGGGTGGTGGTAGGCGCGACGGGGCAGAAAGATGAAGCTGCCATTATATATATATATATATAGGCCTATATTCTCTAGACTATAGAAGAATTAGAGGTGATCTGATAGAAACCTATAAGATTCTTAAGGGTCTTGACAGGGTAGACAGTGTGAAACTGTTATCCCTGGTTGCAGAATCTAAAACTAGGGGTCATAGTCTCAGGATTAAAGGTCAGCCTTTCTAGAACTGAGTTGAGAAACATTTCTTCACTCAGAGGCAGTGAATTTATGGAATTCTCTACCCCAGAAAGTTGTGGGTGCTCAGTCATTGAAAATATTCAAGACTGAGATCGATAGATTATTAAAAACTAAAGGGATTAAAGGATATGGGTAGGGCGAGTAAATGGAATTAGGTTAGAAGATCAGCTATGATCTTATTAAATGGCGGGGCTTTCTTATGTTCTAATGCCAGGTGGATGTTGTCAATTTTAGCGGTAAGGAAGTCCATGACCTCTTCGCACCAGGCGTTAGATGTGATGATTGACGTTGCTTGAGGTGCCGCACGGAGGAGGTGGTGAATGGTGGAGAACAGGATTTTGGAGTTATTGTTGGCCTCCAGTATGATGTTTGAGTAGTGCGCAGTTTTTGCTTGCGAGGGTACGATGGTAGCCATAGCTATGGTGAACCGTGAGGCTGGTTTTCTGCCACCTGTGCTCAAGCAGCCAGGTTTGCGATTTTAGGGAGCGGCGATGGCTGTTGTACCAGGGGGAGCGGATGGGTTTGGAGATGGTCCTGGATTTCAGGGGGACGAGGGAGTTGAAGGTGGAGGAGAAGCGATCATGGAGCAGCTTGACGGCTGCTTCAGGATCACTGCGGGTGGAAGGCCAGAGGGATAGGAGATCTGAGGATGAGAGGGGCTTTGTGAGGATCTCAGGGGAAGCCTTTTCCAAGGGTAGAAAAGTATGGTTGAGGGCTTGATGGAGGAGAGAGGGATGTGAGAGAAGGAGATGAGGAAATGGTCCGAGGTGGCCTTGATGCACAGGTCAGAAATGTCAAGGCCATGTGCGATGACGAGGTTGAGGGATAGCCATGGTTGTGGGTTGGCGAGTTGATATGGAGGATGAAGTTTAGGGAGGAGAGGAGGCCAGTGAGATCTGAGGATGTGGTT